GTCCATACTTTTGGGACGCGTTCAACATGAATAATAGAATAGACAACCACATTTCGTACGATGCTTCAAGCTGATTGATAAATAAAACAATAAACATGATAATAAAAGAAAGTCCTTAGAAAGAAGAGAGAGAAAAAAGAGAGCAAGGAAAAACGGCTGCTGCTCGTTTCCATTCAACAATGCCAAAAACCACCACAGAAGCCAACGACAAACCAGGGCAGACTTGATGACGTTGCCATTTCTATCATTCATTATTGTTACATTCTTTTTTTTCTCTCTTTATTCTTCTCACCCTCGGCTGTGACTTTTTTTGGATCCTTCATTTTCATTTGAGAGTTTTCTTGCTTTCTCATTTTTGCACAATATGATGCATTAGTAATAATGAAAGCTATCGCATCCATATTTTAATAAATTTTATCATTTATTCTTTTGAACAAGAGGATTCGTTTTCCTTGTTATCTTTTTGTGCTCATTGCATAAACAATATTGCATGGCATGCAACTTTGTAGTATTTAAATACTACATAATATAATAAAATTTAATAAAAACAGCAGAGAGAGAGAGAGAGGGGGAAAATAGATTATTCATATTTCAGTCAGCTACAATCTTGGACATCTTCTGCAATTTCTTTTCAAATTGATTTATTCAACTTTTGAAAAACGTACACTTTTGTTTGTTGAGATTCTTGAGAATGGAAGTGGATACGAATAAAAGCCAATCCAAATTTAGCTTTGTTCAGAAATCAAGTTTTCTTTCTCACTCAAGCTCACTTCAAATACATATTTCCCTCTTACGAATAAAGACGAAAACTACTCTCTAGTCATACTCAAATGAAAAAAATGTTGGTCCTCTCGAATGGAAAAAAGAATTGTTAAGCACGTTTCATTCGTTCCAATCATTAATTCTATTTTCAACCTATTTATATATAAATAAAATTGCAATCATCATGAGTACGAACAATGTTCGACACGAACCTTCTGATAGACAAAGTTGTCGAACAAAAGAAAATATTTTTATTTTAATTTCATTGATATTTCCGTGAAAATTCAACAATCGCTCTGAAATTTGACTATAAATTCATTATCGCTGATTAAAACTGTATTCTGAAATACATTTATTTGTTCAATTTTAAACACAAACATATATATTATCACTCCTACCTTCTGTCATTTAGATTAATCAGCGTAGATCATGATACCGAATTCGAATAAAATGTCAATGAGGAAACCGAAACTTTTGTGACTGTTATATTTTAATTAACAGATTCGACAAATATTCGAATATTCGCAAAAGCCTTCTTATTAATTCTGTGTCGCCAAGAAAACATATCACTTTATCGGCTTTCTCAATTTCTGCTTTCGCATCATTTTCTTTCGCGTTTTTGTGCGTACTGGGCCAATTTGTTGTGTGACATATCCGAATTTTCCATTTGTGGAGCATCTCCATTTGATCACACGACAAAAAACTTTGGCAACGACTAATGTCTAAGAACAGCAAAAGAAAATGATTGAAATAGTGAAAATGGTTAAATTGCAAAAAACTAAGTCTTAACAGACAGTATTTGATTTATAATTAATTGGTTGTCAGGTTCAGTTCGAATATATGGAGTTTTTTTCCTCTTCGAATTTCAAATTTCATTTTGCCCATTAGCAGCGCAAACGAACTAGATAAAAACACAACTTTATTTATGGTGCGTCCAATTTTTTTTTTTTTTTCGTTTAGTTGATGTCATTTCATGTACCAACATTAATTTTTCCACTTTTAGAACTTGTTTCACGCATGTAAACACTAGTTCAATTAATTTTCAAAAGATTTTATCCAAAATACGATACAACCGAAGCGAAAGAAGAAACCAAATAATTATGGAACTGAGAAATTGCCGCGAGAAATATATCGTTGATATATATATTTTTTACAATTCGACAATTTAATAAATTGAATGTGAATGGTTTTTATAATTAAACTTTGGTTGTTGTCGACAAGCCTCATCAAATTTTTAGTGTTGTTAATTACACTTTCTCGACGTTGCTCACAACGAACAACAAAAACGTGCGGAAGGCGAGATTTATTTGACTTCACGTTTACAGTCACAATGTGCTCTTGGCTTTTGGTTTTTATATTCGGTCAGTACTAATTACACAAGAGCAAAAAAAAAAAATGATTTACTTTTCGTGGAAAAAATTCCCACAGTTTGTGTTCCATTAAACGTATACAGAAAATCAAATAGAAGTAAAAGACTGTATGGGTGCCAAACCACTACAGATCAACACAAACAACAATGTCAAGAAATTAGGGAACGTGATGTTGTTAATTTGATTTTGAAATGATGATAATGAAAAGTGTTTGAAACAACATACGAAATGGATAGGGGCGCGAGAAATCAATAGTCACATTTACTGTCGATAAAAAAATGCCAAATGAATGAATTTCGCGAATGTAATTTTTGCTTAAAAATCGCTGAGATGAAAAAGATAATTGAAGATTGTTAATTATTTGGAAATAAATGATTTTTTTTTATTGTGAGCATCATGAAACGTATCAAAATTCTTTTCTATGCGGGTCGGATATTCCACAGATAAATGCTCAACGGAAGCATTCCATTCTTCTTCATTTTAATGCGTATTATGTTTCAAGGCGAAAATGTATTGCTGTAGATTTTCTTTTCATCGCGCATTTCTCATACCGTTCTCGGGGTTACTTTAATGAGATAGCAATTTAGACATAGTCCCTCACGAACTCTTAATAGAATACAGGATATAGGTTTAATGGTATTTGATTTTGCTGCTCGCTAAATACCATTTCCTGCGTACACAAAAGAATCGATGCGAATGGGCTGAAAGTGATAGTATGTTTTGTTTAAGCAATTCAATACTCTAGTATCGTCACATGATTTCAAGTGATTTTTTTTTCAATCTATTATTATAAAAGAATTTTTTTTTTTCAAGAAAAAAAGTTCATATATCAATGAGTTGAGATTCCTTTGAAAGTGAATACTGAGAAAAAGAATATAATAGCACTTTTTGCTGTCAAATGCTCGTTTTTATCCCTTTAAACACATTTTATAGCTTGAGCATGATTTTCACGAAAGAAAAAATATCATTAAATTATAATCAACCAACGCACATCCTTCGCCTTGTTCAATTCAAAATGATTCAATTTTTTATTGATTGACGTTGTTCGTTACCGTGATACACAAAATCGAAAAATAGCTTTCCTTTTATCAAAATCGTGTATCTCTTGGCGCAATATTGTTTTAGATTTAGACAAAAAAAAAAAATACATTTTTTGGAGTACAACAATAAGTGCTTCGTCAACGTCAGCTAGTTAAGGACGAGGATTTGATTTCAAAATGATGTTATTCGATGATTAAACATGCTACTTCTTCCATTTTCCACTCTTTTTCTGATATTCATGGCGATTAATCAAACGCTTTTCATATGAGAAGATAACAAAATTACGGTGTTTTTTTTATTTTGTTTTTACTTCGATGTATCCAATTCACCATCAATTTCCCCTTTTGTTTTTCCAACGTGATATTGATTCGACGACTAGCTTTCGGATATTCGTGCCACTATCATTGCCATCGAATTGAAACGACATACAGAGAATATCCAAAACCGTACTTCGCCTTCTACGCTTTGCACCATTTTCCTCTTTGATACATAACCGTATCATAACATGCTTCTTCTGATAAGGCAATAAGTCTCTGTTATTGCTTATTTGCGTTTTTTATTCAAGCATAGCGTCATTTTTGCGGTTCCCACAATTCTCACTGGCGTACTTTACACCCGAACCGAATGTTGACAACTAAATTGCCATCACTTACAGCCATGGTGGTCGATATTGAACAGAACAACTTTTACCCCTACATCCATTTCACATCGCCGACAAACGAACGCATAGAATTTCTAAAAACCTGCTCCACTGTTAAAAATTCGCGTGGATTTCTTCCACCATTCAACAGTAGATGGCGTGACTATGTTGCAATGAAAATGTTTCCTGTTCAATTCGTTTGGGATATTTTCCTTGCAACTTAAGCGAAAGCAATCTGTTGGCAAATGTACGAATCATTTTGCCGCCCAATTTCCAAAAATGCTTGCCCAACAATGGAAATGAAATCTTTCGGGAGGACGAAAAAAATCGATATGCTTCAACTGGAAACTGAATATCTAATGGCATATAAGTGAAAAATGGGCCTAACAATGACCAAATAATCGAGTCATTTTTTCACTTTATTGGACATCATTATTACAGCACAATGTTCCAGTTTTATTTGCGATATGCATATATTTACATATGAATTTGATGCCGATAAAAGTTTCTCGGTTTCAAAAAAAAGAAGATAAATTTGTTTCGACACATTCATGAAGTTTTCTATCGCAAGCGGTAGTTGAATGAAAATAGAAAGTCAATCAGGATGAGTTTTATGCGTTATCCGGTGCTAGGATGGGAATTTTAAAATCATTATCACACTGATTCTTTCACATACAAGACTATGCGGGCATAGAAGAATTGCAAGAAATCTGTGTATGCGTTTTACGCGTCGCCATTCGATGAATGTGCGAAGAAAACAGGATTAGGTGTTGATTGCGTTTCGTGAGTAAGGATTTATATATGTTGATTATTATTAATCGAATTACATTCATGATAACTGTTTTCCTTCCTTTCATCTCCTACATATTTTAAAATGCTCATCGCAAATCTCCCATGAGATTGAAGTGAAAAATATTTCCACATTGAATACAAGATAACTCGAGAAGCCGACTTCGAACAATCGGAAACATTTTTTAAAGTTTTTTATTTTTTTTATCAATTTTAATGAAAAAAAATTGTTTATTCTCATCAGAATCGTTTTTTATTTCACTCTTTTTGTTTAACATTTTATAATACTAAAAATATTCTACATGAATGTGTTTATCATTTTACGATGAAATTGAGCTTTGAATATGTATATATTTCTTTTTGGATTTTTTCTGGTTCAACGCTAAATGCAAACCCTTCTCCCAGAACTCAGCTCTTTTTTGTTCAATCGAAACTGGATAGTACTAAGCGTTTCAGTTGGAATTTCCCGCGAAAAAAATGAAATAAAAACACTCATATATAAATGAAATGAAATAATAATAGTACGATAACCCTTCAAACGATTCAGAGTTCCTTGTTCACATAGAAACTACCAGTGATTGTGTTGATTGACATCTCTTTGACTTTCTGCAATGGAAAAAAAATAAACTATTTTTTTCTATTTAATAAAAAGATCCTTCTTCTGAAAAAAAGAATATTCATGTAAGAGTAAATCACTTTTTTGCAACTATGATACGGAAAAATCTCTTGATTGAATTTTATTAATTTTCTTTTCTAAACAAGATCCGGAAATAGTTGTATCCCATTCGACGAAGAGAGCCTTCGTATGAATTGTTGCTGATGCTTAGTGAAATCTGTTTGCGTTCATTCCATCCTTGCAATGATTAAATTTACTTTGTCGCATTGAATCGCTTTACATTCGCCCTTCACAAGAAAGTTGATTAAATAAGATGAAAGAAAGTAATTTCGAAGAAGAAAGATGGAAATCAAATCCACTTTCACCTTGGTGGTACCGATGTAGAGGTCAAAGGTCAATTAACCTACTCGTTAAAAAAATTACATTTTTCTTAAATGAAATTTTTTAATAAAGTTGTTGAACATAAATATTATAAATGTAAACTGTATATTGAAATCACAAAGGTAGTTCGAATAATTCAATTTCCGTGCATTCGTGTCGTTGCAAATGACATGGGTAAAGTACTTGTATGCAACAGCAGCTAGTATTTCAACAAAAAGGCCGATAAACTGCTGTATATGGTGACAGCAAAAACGATGCATGTGTCACGAAATCCTTGTGACCGTATTTTGTGTGCTTGTATGTGTTACATGTTGGTTTTTTTTTTACTTGTATCTTTTGCACTACGATTTATATGTGTGCATGCATCGAAAGTTAGAGTGTGCAAAACAAGACCTGAAACATTTTCCATGTTTCATTCGGTGAATGTGTTGATAAACATTATGACACATACAATTTGCATGATGTCTCAACTGGATCATGTTTATCACCATTGACAAAGCCATCGTGCGTCGTTGAAGTTTATGCTATTCCTTTGCTTCGAGTCGTTCTGAAAATTGTGTCTGCAATATTTAATAGACGGGAAATTTGATACACACATACTCAAATGCGGCACTGAACGCTTAGGCAATATATTTTATTACCCATGGAATGGCGAATGGAATGTAATATTTCAGTTGGTCGCTATTTAAAATTGAAATTTTTTCGTAATTTGAGTCGTCAATATCTCTCTCTCTCTCCATTTACGTGTGCTGTAAATCATTTAAACCCCATTTTAGTTATTTCGATAGCATATTTCATGGTGTATTACGCAAATTTAATATCGTTTATCATGTTATCGTTTCGAATCAATTTCTTGCTATCAAAATTTGATTTATTTCCCATAATAATTGTGGATGCAGTTTTCCATTTGCCAAACTGCCTAAAAGCATGATGAACGATGAAGATGGAACACAGAACGATGGTAAAAATTCGGTGTCATTTCATTAAAGACATTTTTTTGTGTGTTGTTGCTATGGACATTTAATCAATGATGCCAGTCACACACACAACGTGCAAGCGGGTCACATAAAAACATGAATTCCATTGTATCTGCTACCAGGATTCAATTCATCATCTTGTAAACGTTCGCTTGTTAGGCAAACTTTTTTATTCTGTAGCCTCTCTCTCTCTCTTTCTGTACCTATGTAACAAACAAGCATTCACAAGAAAATGCTTTCTAAGCCCTATTTTTGAAGTGAATATAAACAAACCGAAAAAAGTCTCTCTTTTATTCCTATTTCTTCGTTTTTATCATACTGAAAATTCCCCCGGCGGGAATTCACATCATTCACAGAATATTTTTTTTGCAGCAAGAGCGTGGTCGTTGTTTTGAAATCAAAAACAGAAATAACACTAGAAATGGAAGGAACATTGATGTCGTTTTCTGAATTCATTCAGAAGAACCAACCAACGGTAACGTTGGCTGAACAACAAACTCAAACACGCGCCGCATCGTCAATGATTACTTCATCCCTTGAAACAAAATGCAATACCGTAATTGTTCAGTACCCTTCGATGTATGCAAAACTGGATTCTATTTTTTGATACGGTACAGATCGGTCGATATTTCGAGGAAGTTGTTGCAATGCTCTTTGATTCATTTCTTTAGTTTTAGATGCGAATGCCATATGTGTTTCTATACATTAAGATAAAGGAAAAAAGAGGGTCGATTCATCATCAGTAGAAGAGAATAATGCATAAAAGCGGTGATAGGGAGCCGAAAATGGTCCCTTATTTACACTAACTGCATGCGAGCCATGGTTATTATCATCACATTATCTACTTTATGGCAAGATTCCAGTTATGCTCGGGTCATAGATGTGAACATTCAATGTCGAAAGTAAAGTGTGTCACAGGTACAGGCTAATTATTTCCATTCTAAAACTGGATCAACGCATGTTTTTCAAGCGAAACTCATTTCCTTTGCATATGAATTGAATAATTTAAAATCACAGCCAGCGTTGCGGCAAAACACAAAAACGTACATTTTGCATTAATTAAACGTCTGCTAATATAAGTGATTTTTAATGAATACATTTTTCTTTGGGAGTGGCATAATTCCCCTGCCAATTTTTTTTATCGTAAATTGAAAATTATTAGAAAACCGCCAAAGTGATGTATTTTTTTTGGGTCGTAAATGAAAGTTTTTTATCACTTTTTTATGCTATTCATAACATGAAAACTGTTCGTTTTTATACGAAACTGACATGCAAAACGAAATCCTTATATTCGCAGTTCTTCTCCACTCCCAAAAAATGATTAAAGGAAAAAAACAGAAAGAAAACACTGCGAGTAAACTTAAACTGTAAAATGTAATGAAGTATCCAATTAAAAACCAAAATACCAATTTTTCCAAGGTAAAACTGAGAAAACAGAGAAAATTGACGAAATTTTGTCCGAAAAAAATGTCTTGCAAAGCGAAAATTTGTTTCGTGGTTTCGACCGAATTATTTCGCTTTGTACCGTACACGTAGAATCCATACGATGGAAAACAAAATGGCGGCTGTAGCAAGTGAACGAACCGAAAACCCGTGTAAGATGGAAAAGCCACGAAATTACGGTTTAATCAATACTAGCTAGAGAGCTCGTGTCGCGAATGTATAGTTTTATTACATAGTAAAATGTATTTTATTTTGTTCGAATGCTATTTTTCCGCTTGTACATTAGTTTTTTTCTTTTTCGCTTTCGGTTCACTACAGTTCAAACGGTATATACTTTAACTTGCACGCAAATAAAAGACAAATACAGAGAGAGAGAGAGAAAAAAAGCGAAACTTGCATATGTTGGACAATTATGATGATCAGCATTGAGACAATGTTAATGTCCCGAAACAACATTAAAGTTAATATAATTCAAACTAATGCTGTGACAGGACAATATAATTGTTATCAAGCTATGTGTATGATGTTTTAAATGCAAATGGACTCTGCGGTGTTGTTGTTGCTCTTTCAAAGTGGGTCTTATCAACTTTTGATAACAATTCGTTTTTATTTCAACTTTTAAATCACTACTAAACAATTTCTGGTTGCTTTTTTTCTCATCGAAATCACAAAATGAACAAACTCAAGTTTTAAAATGTTAATATTTTGCAATAACTAAATTGAATGAAATGAGCAGAATTTTCAAATACAAGTGTGAATCTATCGCAACGGATCCAATACTGACGATATGTATAACGCACAAGCACTTCGAGCCAACTGAAATGACTCTAGGGTTGAATTTACAATATACGAGCTAGTCGGTATGATGCCATGACAACCACCCCGTCTCGCGCGCGTTTTCTTTCAATGCGATGCGTGCGAAGGAAAGAGACAGCTTCATACAAGATTAACGTTTTGCTACAATTTCAGCATAAAAATGATACACGCACACAAGCGCGATTTTCACACACACAGTTAGAGGGACACGCGCACCAAAACTCTCGTGTGGAAAGACGAAGCAAGACCAATAGCATGAGCATGAAAAAATTTTAACGTTAGAAAAAAAAAGATACTCTGTTTCATACAGCGGAGTAGCCGCTGATACAGATTTTTATTTGTCATTATGACCGAAGAGAAAAAACTTCAACGGCAGCTTGTGCATATTTTACCTAATTTTGCTCAGCTTTTCTCATCACGTACACGTCATTACGGCTTCGAGTCAAATTTCGGCTACGGAAGAAAATGGCCACCAAGAAGAAAATCAAATGAAAATTTTAGAGCAGAATATTGAAATGGTACTTTTTGTAGGCTATTCAATGTGGAGCCATAATATATAAAGAATAACGGTTATTTTATACTGTCCACATTTTATGCGAAATATTCAATGCTGGAAAATTAGGTTTAATTTATTGGCTTTTGAGAGTCCTTTTCAAATTAATATTAAAGAGTAAATTAGCTATGTTGATTTTATGATGAAATGTTAATGAATTGATATGAGTAAAAAGTCGCGAGAGTTGAACACAAGACGAAAAAGTAAACTCACGTTAAGTTTATGCATTTGCATAATTAAATTAATAGAACTTTTGGACTTTTCTTTCCATTTTTGTTTCTGTGCACTGTACATTCAGTACGTTCAATGTGTACTGAGTGTTTCATCACCTACACATTAAAAAAACCGTTCTCCTATCAAAAACGTTTCGAATGCCGTGATATTGAAGAAGAGAACGGTTGTCCTTTTCATCAAATGCAAATAAATGGTGAACAGTCCACAATAAAAGAGATATCAACCAATGTATCTGGCATTGCAGAATGCGTTCCGGTAACGAATACGGTAACATTTATTAAATATGTGCACGATATTTGTTGACGTTTGCGCAGTGCAGACATTTGCTGTCGCTTGCTTTCTTTTAGAAAATCAATAAGGCGTTTTAAATCACCAATGAGTCGTGTGTATGTTAGAAATGCCGATAAGAGCAACTGTAACAGTAGAAATAATGATGTCGAGTTTTCGGGATACACGCATTCGCATTCTGCATCGGTTATTTGCCGAGTGTGCGCACTCTAGCCACCTTCGCTATATGAAAGCAATGGGAACGAACAAAAAAAAAACACACGACCGAACATTTTGAAACGTTTTATTAGATTTTCTCTCAAATACTAACACATGAAGGCATTTTCATTTTGGTATATGTATTCAATGGAAAATAATGAATGGCCACAGCCTTCAATACGCTCAAAATAACCGGATTTTCAAATGATTCGCAGAAAATGTTATTTCAAGCAATTGAAAATTGATGCTCCCATGATACACGTCAATCTTCTCTTGTTTCAAATCGTTTTATGTGCCAAATATACCCTTTTTTTCTTCTTTTCGATAATTCGTTTTTCTTGTGTAATATCCTCGCTCAATGGCAACTCTTTGTGGTACATTTTTCACGAATTTTAATGGCAAAACGCCGCTAATGTACTCCAAATTATGCGATTCAATGAGTGGATGACGAGCGGGTCAACGACCGTAAAAATCCTAATTTCCAAAAAACAAATACTATTCCACATGAATGTACGCATGAACATCCTGAAACCATCATTTGCTTTTTCTGCATGCTTTTTTCATTGTTTGCTCTGCTTTTTGCTGTACAAATTCAAACATTACTCATCGTATTTCAACTACACATAGCATTGTACAATGAAATCTCTGGCTCTCTTTTTCCCACTATTTTCCAAGTTTTTTTTTTTGTTTCGACTTTGAGAACAAATTCACCGAGAATTTCTCAGTGAGTACACACATATTTCACATTTGCTGAGATTTATTTTGTTGATTTAATGATTACAATAGTGAACACAATGCATGTTTCCATTGCGCTTTAGGCGCAATTTTTCTTCATTTATGAAATAAACACACTAAACAGAGTGAATTCAATATTTACTCAACTACCGAAATGGTTTTGAATCAATTTCAATTTGTTGAATATTGTGAACACGTACCTTAACATATAATGGTTGCATCAAAATAAAATAACTCAAATTATTCGGCATGAATTTCATTCAAGTCTTATTTTATTGTTTAATATGGTAAGCGACATGATAATGGAGCGTTCGCAGTGTTATCAAAAAATGTGAGAAATTATGAAAGGATATGAAAATAATAATGAAAATATTTTCCATCAAGCTTGTCATCCAAGCAATGAATATACTCTGGGATGCACATATGCAATGAAGAAATGTGTTTATACCACCCACAATACATACACAATAAAAATAAGTTGGAATAAACTCAGTTTTTTTTTCTTTTCTTCTTTGATGTTCAGCCAATTTTCCGTTTTATTGTAAATAGGCATAGACAATTTATTCATTGAACCGAAACAGCGACCACATTATAATTGCAGTTGTATGCACTTAGTCTATTGCATACGGTTATTGTGTTTTTGACTTTGAATCACGAGACTCGGCACTAGTTGAAGGTCGTACAATGAACTTGCTTCAATATTTTTCCCCGCGTCTTTTTACTTATGTTATTCTTTCGCGCTCAAACACGATTACCAATATATAGTTCAAATCTTTTTCCATTCACCAACCCGTTGCTCGTTTCAATGGCATTTCAATGAGTCATATCAAATGAGGAAAAAAAAAGAATTTGGCACAGCATTAATATAGAGGACAGACACGCAAACTGAATGTTAATGTTATTTATTGGTGTGGGTGCCAGAATATGTTTCGGACAAATCGATTAAATTAGCCCTATGATGTCGTCATTCGATTTTTTTAGTATATATTCAACATTTTGACTTGTCACCACCGCTAATTTGATAAAAAAAACTAATGAACATTTATTGTTTCCTTTTACAGCGCTACCATCGAGAATGGCACATTGATCTCACATGACTTGCATAATGCCCTTGCGGTGATTAAAAATGAACAGGTCATCTCACAACAACAACAACAACAACAACAGCAGCAACAACCACAAAATGCAGCCATTGCTGTTGCCTCAACAGCCACTACAACGACCATAAATAATGGTACAACTACTGCATCGCATTCAGGTTCATCGGGTCGATCGACACCAAACAACACAGACTCTGCACCAGGAAAACTCTTTGTTGGTGGTCTAAGCTGGCAAACATCGGCCGATAAACTAAAAGAATATTTTGGAATGTTCGGAAATGTCACAGATGTTCTTATCATGAAAGATCCCGTTACACAGGTAAACATTTTTGCTTTTTTTTTTTTCTCATATTGTGTTTTATAGTTTGTAATTTTAAACATAGCAAAAAATAACTGATTTCATTGTTTGTTTTTAATTAACAGAGGAGCCGTGGATTCGGTTTTATCACATTCTCAGAGCCTAGTAGCGTAGAAAATGTTCTCAAAGTGCCAATTCACACATTAGATGGAAAGAAAATCGATCCAAAGCATGCCACACCAAAAAATCGACCGAAACAATCGAATAAAACGAAAAAGATTTTCGTTGGTGGCGTTAGCCAAGACACATCATCCGATGAGGTAAAAGCCTACTTCAATCAATTCGGTAAAGTTGAAGAGACTGTGATGTTAATGGATCAACAAACAAAACGGCATCGTGGTTTTGGTTTTGTCACATTTGAAAATGAGGATGTTGTCGATCGAGTATGCGAAATTCACTTTCATACTATCAAAAATAAGAAAGTCGAATGCAAGAAAGCTCAACCGAAAGAATCAGTCGCACCGACTGCACAATTGTTGCAGAAACGTTTTATGCTCGGCGGTTTGGGCGTTCGAATGGTACCACAAACTCAAATGAGCCAAATGAGCCAAATGACCCAAATGAGCCAAATGGGCCAAATGGCTGGACCAGTTGCTGCCGCAAGTGCGATCAATCCAACTCAACTGCAAGTAGTACAAGCTCAGGCACAGGCAGCTCAAGTTGCTGCTTTGCAGGCTCAACAAAATGCCGCTGCTGCCAACTTTGGTAAAGTGTTCTCCGCGTATCCACCGTTACATAGTTTTAGGTAAGTACACACATTGATAATGCACAATTATATGAAATGTTTTTTATGTAGACAATGTAAATACATTTGAATGCAGATCTAATTATATCTTGCTCACTAACACCATCACCCACTCATTTCATTTTAATCGTATTTATTGTAATTACTAACACACGAACAACCACACAAATCAATGATTTGATCGACGATTCCAAAACTTTGAATTTCTCTTCTTTTTGTAAAAGATATGCGCCATATCCAATGCCGACGGGAGCTGCGTCAGCCGCAACAGGCCATCCTCATGCTGGTGCCACATCGTCAGCGGCAGTAGCACCGCAAACCGCTCACGTTCAACAACAACCACAACAAACTCATCAACCACCGGGCATGGCACAGGCCCAGGCAGCCACCGCTCAGATGGCTCAGCCATTCCCGTATGGCATACCAAATGTAGACATGAGCAGTTTCCAAAATGTTGATTGGTCAAACATCTACGGAATGTATGTCTAAACGCGAAACGATCAATCGAAATGAACAAAAACTTTAGAAACTATGTGTGATGCATAGATTAACAAAACAATTGAACACGAGACAAATTAAGAAATGAAAAACAAGAAAAAAAAAACACAAAAAAAAAAATCATTAATTCAATCTTTAACACTTTCAATACGAATGCCACAAGCAAGCGCGCAGCTACACAAATTTAATAATTTACATAGAGATAAGTAAGACACAAAGCAAACACAAATAAAACCAACCGAGAGATCCAGAAAAATTGTCTTTACCGAATCGAGGATATGCGTGCCAAATAGCAAAGAAAAAAACAAAAACAAATTATACAACACGCGAATCATAACAAATGATGGATCTTCATAACACAAGATGCGTGTTAGATTTTAAATTAGAGAGAGACCAAACAGCGGGACAAACAACGAATCAAATGAAGTGGAAATTAGACAGCGTTTTATCATTTGCAATGAGTGCCATCGAAAATATGTGCTGAGACAGTGTTCAGCATCAAACAAACTCAAACCGAGATATGTATTGCAATGAGAGAGAGAGAGAAGAAACCAAAATAAGTAAACCATTTTATTAAATTCATCACTATTCTAAAGTGAATCCCGTTCAATCAGTTTTTAAACGAATATAACACTTATCTGTACCTTGTTCATTTTCATTTTAATTTCGATTTTATTTTGTTCGTTCAAAATTTTATCAATTTTAGCTTAGAGAGTAACATTTCAAAGAGTCCCAAATCAATTGAACATTTACTAGAATCTCACCAGATTTTTTTTTTTAACTATGTATTCATTAACCGTAATCAAAATGAATCTAATATTATAGAAATGGTCTCATTTTATTTATAGTCAATTATAAATACAAATACAAAATAGCCTAATAACATGATTTGATTGGAAAGAAAATCGACTCCAAATATGTACCATTCACAAGTAAATGTTTACGAACAAAAACAAAAATACTGTACATTGAAATTCTGTAGAACCACAATGGAAGTGACAACATTTTTATCCAAATTGCCAATTGCACTGAAGCATCGATATCACAGTCACAACCTTGATTTTAGCTTAATAAATGTTTAGGATTTTGAGTTTCTTTGCGAAATTCATTTATTTCATTTTAGTGTATTGGTTCGGTTTGGCTAAGGCACTTTTATGTAAATCCAAACAAAAAAGTAATTCGGATTCTTTTTTATTTTGATTTATTAAACAAAAATATAGATGAATTTCAAACGAAATTAATTCATATCACTAACAACTATGGAACATTTAGTCAATTATAATCTATTTAAATCTGTTGAATTTCCTTCTTTTTTTTTGGTTTCCTTGTGTAAGTCCATTATATGAGATGGAATGTAAATAATAATTTGAAGTTCTGGCATTCGAAATTATTTCCGTTAAATATACAAACATGTATACAGACAATAATATATTATTGTAGTATACTACCAACAGACCATTTGTCAAGCAGTATCTATCTCTGCCTGGATCAAACATTGCGACTTTATTACTTCATCTTTTTTTTCTGCGGTACTATAGCGGCTTTGTTTTAAATTCATTTTCTATATTATACAAACGTAGTTACGAACAATCTTTTACCGATTTAATTGTTAGCTACATCTTCTTTTTTTATGGTAAATATTTTCCACTGTGTTTTTGTCCCATAAATGTAAAACCGATTTACTAACACATATGGCTGATTTATGAACATGATTTGATTTTGAAAAAGCCTCTCGTATGTCTCTGCGATTGATGATGTTTTTATCGATCTGTAAAACAACTTAGATTCCCGTTGTTTTGTCTTACTAACCGCCTGAATATATCAATATTTCTGGTTTTCTGGTTGAATGAATTTGTTACATTTTAATGTAAAAAAAAAATACATTAAAAACACTGACATAAGCCACAAACACCACCAAAAAAAAATTCACAAATTTTTTTTTTACTTTTTGGTAGATATTATGTTTTTTTGTTTCGTTCTTGCTTTTGGATTTTATTCTATAATGTAGTGCATAATAATTATTCGTATTCAACAAACACATAGAATTAAAGAAAAAAAAACAGACATATGGAAAATTTAAATTGAAGCAATTTTTGTGTTGTTGTGAGAGAGAAAAAAATACAAATATCTCAATTGATGAGAGAAAAATGCTCAGTTTTGAAGAAAAAAAAGAAAGTTATTATCTCAACAACATAAAAATGTCGATTTATGGAAAATTAGTTGATAATAGTTCGTAAGCAATAATTTGCAATAAGCAGTATTATATTCGAAACAAAAAAAAAAATAACAAACACCCATGCAAAAACAAATTCACAACAACAACAAAATTCACAACATCTAAACACATTTTCATATTTCCCTATTTTTTGGTCCCATTCATTTAATCCGATTTATTTTTGATCTTAGGTTTGATTAAGTTTACAATTAGAACTCAAGAAGTACGAACAAACATGCTCGCTCTGTTTACATGCGATTATATGGTAAAAACAAATGAATGTGTTGTTTTGATTATAAGTAACTAGTTGTAATGTTTATGAATAGTTCATATTATTGATATAATGATACTGATGATAATAATAATAATCCAGAAGTACACATAGATTCAATTACACATGCCCTCACCGACATTATATGTATTCTAACACTTTATCAGAAAAACCAAACTGATGAAATAATCAGTCCATCTACTAACCCACACGTTCACATTGAAGGAACTAAACGAAAAAAAAAACAACAACAACAGAAAAATGCATCAACGCTTCTTGTAGATCAGTTTTTGTAGCCGGTTGAGAATAATTTTGCCAATTTTTTTTTGTATGTCCAGAAAATGACTTTCATCATAAAAAAAACATTAATATTGAATGGAATAATTCTGTGTATCAGTATGTACTTAAGAAATGAATCGACCTCTATTTTGTGTGTAATTTCAATTTTCTTTTCATTTTCATTCTAAATTATTATTATTTTTTATTTCTTTTGAATATGTACATTATTTGTCCATTATTATTTTAATCCGTTGATTTAATGCGAACATTTTTTTCCCGTTTGTTTCAATGGACACCAGCACACGGTACACAGCGAAACAAAAGAAGAAAAAAAAACACACAAAAAAATTCACGGCTGTATAGCAACTGGTTTGAAGTGTAAAATTGGAGTTGGTTTAAAGTCAGCAGCACTCATTAAAAACGATATGTCCTGATTTTAAACCGGAAACTGAAATTTAAAACACTTGTAGAGACAAATGAATTTGCTTAAATGTATTTCGTCCCTTTTAATATATGTTTACTTTCATACTTCTTTTAATTTAGTATTTTATTGCATAAATTTTCATTTTTTTTTTCTATTAATTTAAGCTTAATAAAAATAAATCCATTTCACATGGAAAATACATTTGTATTGTTGTATTTTTATTATTATTTTTTTTAATTTTGAACACTATTTTAGTTTCACATGTTTATTTGGAGTATTTGTTTCTCTCCTTTGTTTTGACTGTAGGTTGTGCTAATAAAAAAAAAGAAATCTTTGGATTTTTTTTTTTTAATTTTGTCTATTTATAAACTTATAAACTAATAAGCACCGCTTTTTTACTTGGAATACTGTAGAAAATACATTACCACTATATAGCTGACTGTGAGAGCCATGCACTGAATTTCTAACTTACCCGCGGTTTTAACACGAATTTATTGTGGTGAACCGGATCCAAAATGAACCTATATTTAGTTATATTTCTACCGAGACTCTGTACAATGTGTACAAATGTGCATGTTTACTTCGCATATACCGAAAGACTAATTCTAATACGCTAGTCAATATCATCATATTACAAATCTCAATTCGGTTTCATACATGTGTTATATACATATAATCTATATATATTTTAGAATATTTAATGTTTCATCATAACTTCAGCTTATTTTTTTCTAAGTTGCGGGTAAGTTTGTTGTATATTTTGTTAAATTCATTGTTATATTTTATTTTCTAATTTTTAGTTTTTTCTAAGCCCATGGAAATGTCAGATCAAAATACTCTTTTTGCTCTTTTTTTGTATATAACATTCAACTATATATAATTTAATAACGGTAACAAGCAGTAAATAATCCAAAATCAAAATTAATTTAGATAGTCTTGTGATGTATTAAAGATTTGAGTTTGTATTAGATTTTCGATATTTTTTTTCATTTGCGAGTTTCGTTACGGCAGACAAATAAACCAAAACTATACCATTCTTATTTCATAGACTTTGTGAGCGTTGTATGCAGAAAGTAAATGATTGCCTGAATCCTCATTTTATAAATTCGCACTGAAAATAATCAAATATTCCTTTCTCTCATATTATTCGCTATCTGATTTTTTTTTTCATTTCGTTTGACATTCTTTCCGAACAAAAAAATTTATTTCGCTTAACCATTTTTATTCTAGACGAATAGCTCTTCAAACTCTGCTAATTCTAATCATTCTCTTTTTTTTATTCAACTATGTATTGATACATTCAAATCAACGCGAAAATAACATTTATTATCATTTGCATTTAACTTATATATTTAATGTAGATAATTTTGCGTTTCGTTTGATTTTCGGTAAAATTTCAAGCTGCTCCTTTTTCCTCTTTTATCATCTCATGTAAAACTCGTGTTCAAAATAAATAAATTGCAAATAAAAGTTTATTGATTGGATTCATCGCGTATTCCTCATTCAAAAAATTGTGTGATTAAAATTGTAAATAAAATGTAGCTCTTCTATTTCGGCATAAAAATAGTACTTTCTATTGCGATGAAGTAAATACAAACATAGAAATACTGAATACTATACACGTAATTTATTAAAGAAAAAAAAAACATAAAATACACACTTAATTTATTAAAATCTTCAAACATATAAAATGTCTATTTTAAGACTCAAATCCATATCATTTATGATAAATTTCCTCATAAAATATATTTTAACAAAACTAAATAGTGGTAAATGATAAGAGGATTTATCTAAACTAATTTTTAATGAAATTTACTGACAATAATAAAGAGAGAAAAAAAAACGGTACTGATAAGCAATAAAAAGATATAATACTGTGAATATTCTAAATTAAAAACCATTAACAAGAAGAAAAGAAATATTTCGTGACAAATTAAATATTTATAAAATGCGTCGCGATGTGTGTGAGTTCCGATCACATACAACTAAATTCGATTGACTAATGATATTCAAAATTGCGCAAATCAATTACATCAATTAATGCCACATAATTGGCGATCAACGAAACAAATGCTTCACAAAATATGGAAAACCAAGTACAAACTCGAATTTTTTATACCTCTTTGGCTAAAAAAAATCATCATTTCATCGATCGTCTTTCCTCTTAAAAAAACAAAACTAAGTGATATGCTCAAGTGTACAGCTATACGTCTAATTTTTTCAAATATTCTTGTAGTTTATTCAGTCTTTGCAAGTATTCTAGGTCATGAAGTGAGTTGCTTTTTAGTTGTCCGCTGAACATTTGAACGTTTCTTTTTCGTACAAACTCTTACGAATTTAATTTGATTTTTTCATTTGGTTCATTTTTAGATTTTAAAATTTTACTTTGCCAAACGTCTGTTGGTAATCTCCTCATAATATAAACAAAAATATTAGACACAAATAAACGGCTATACTATCAAATTGTTCACTGTACACAATTTTTGTATCAATACCATTTAGATTTAGAATCAAATTTTTGTTTTCGGTGGAGAAATTTCGAAATCATACATGAAACAGATTATATTATCTATTTCAAATCAACTTATTAGACAGATTTTTACAATTTTGACCGAATTTTGTACTGTAAATAAAATTAAAAAAAAAAACACTATTGGAAAATTGTTTATTTCCATATTAGGACCACATACACACAAACAATCAAACTTCAAACGATCTCTATTTAGTACAGTATTTCATCCTGAATTTTATTTAAATTATTAGTTTATATAAATGCCAAAATAAATTATGTGTATTTTCTTTGCTAAGAGCTGATATATAATTGCTCTTTGAGAAGCCTGAAATCATCTAGTAATAGATTGTTGACCATAGACAAATCTGATCGCAGAGTTCGTGAATAAAAAAAAGCATTTCTTTTGTTTATATGTAAAACATAACCTAACATTTGACTTACAATAAATTGTAGCAAAATATGTATACAAATAAACTAAACAATTCCATTGAAGTCACGTATATTCAAAGACAAATTAGATGATGCAACTAATAATGATAATATGTTTAGTTAGCTGAAGCAAATTCTCAAGAAACAACATATTTATCGCACTTATTTATTACAATTAATTATATATAATTTATATAAATATACATTTTTCCCCGAAAGCGAAAGCAACAAAATCCATCAACAAATAAACAAGATATATTTAATCCAACCTTGATTTCATTTTCATTTCTGATATTTATAAAAAAAAATGTCAGCTTAGATGACAGATTTTGTTTGGTCCGATTGGTAAAGTGATTCAAGCACATGTAATTGTAAATTAATATGTGATTATATATGTAATCAATTTTGTACAATGATAAACCTTAACCGGCAACTAGGCAACTTAGCTTTGTCTCCACTTTAGTTTACCTAGATAAAAACAACAGTTCATATCAAATTTTTCTATTCCAAAAAAAAACTCTTGATAAAACCAAACACATAAAAAGACAGTTATTAATTGAATTTTATTTGAATTTCTCCTTGCAAAACAGAGATTAATGTGATTGTGTTCAGCCACACACCGATTACGAAAATCGATCAAAAAAAATTGAAACAATGTTCAATAGAATGAAAATGGGGAATGTCATAACAACGTGTCTGTAAGTACCAACCGAGCCATTCAGTAATGAACGATGACAGATTTTCTGCAAATAGTCTGTATATAGATAGCATTTGGTTGGGTTTTATTTTAGTCGCAACTTACAAACAGTCACAGTGCAAACATTATTTATTTTATTGTCTCTTTTTTTGGAAAAAAAAAGTCTTGAGAGGTAGTGAAAGTCTTATAGCATAGATATGTTTGTAGCTGGTAAATGTGTGCTAAGAAAGTGATGGTCAACATTTCACGTAAATGATGGTCAACAATATTTTCTATGTGAAATGCTGATCATGGCATATATATGACAATTGTGTTGTGTCGACCCCATAATAAATTGGTTCATGTAGACGAATTAGTACTAACAACGATTCTTTCAAGCACTTTTATCATACAAATCATAGTGACATAGAAAACCCATTTATTTGTTGTTTTGTCGTATCAAGAGCAAAATATTATTTAATATTTGATATAAAACAAATCGTGGTATTGATACATTTTTTGTCAATGGACATTTACTTTGTGTTCGTTTTTTGCGATCTAAAGCAATTGGTAAAATCTACTCTCAAAAGTTGTGTATAATAACCATTAGCTCTTGAGGCTGATTTGATGAAAAAAACACAGTACAAACCTAGACAATTTCGAACAAAAACCGAGCATATCACAGCATAAGATGTTATTAACACGGTTGAGGTATAGCAAAATAATATGTTTTCAAAACGCAGTGTACTTATCTTGTTTTGTAATGTCTGCTCTGGCTATTTATGATTTTTATTCGATTCGGTTCGAGAAAAGAAGAGAAAGCAAATGATGCGAAGCATACAGAAATGTTGTATTGTAATTGTATTACCTTCACATATATTTAGAAGACACACGAAAACAGTAACTTAAATACTATATATAGATGTAATATTAAATGTGAACTGAACCCAACTAAAAAGGAATCGTGGCATTGCAACGATTGATGTTTTGGCAAACATTTTTCAAAGTTTACCAAAACGTTCACCGTTTCAACCATACTTTCTGAATTCCGTAAATCATTTTTGAAAATGACAGTTGCATGTTGTATCATTGAACATTTAAAGATTGAACAAGTATAAAATGGGATTGTATGAGAGAAAATTATTATTAGGAAAACCTTTTTGAAGGATGTGTTTTTTTATAAATAAAAAAAATGATTAATCAATCATACAATTAAATATAAATCATGATTGTGGTTGTGTTTTGAAAGAACTAAAGCCCTTTCGCAAGTAGAATGAAAAACTAGAATATAGCTATAAATTCTCACACATCCCAATAAATAAAATGAAAACACATATAATAAAAAATAGTTGTACATATAAATGAAGTAAATTATTCAATGACATAAACCTACAAAAGTATTTACAAATTAAATGCATTCACTTTAGATCCCTTAACACACACATATACATACATATATATATAAAATTGGATCTTAAAAGTCTGAATGCTTAGAACGTAATAACAAAATATAATGGCTATTAAAACGAAAAATTGAGAAAAAAAAAGTAAAACAAAACGAGAAGAAAAGAATTATTTGCAAATGGAAACGTTTGATGGGTTTAACTTTGGATAAAATGTGAAATTATTGGTGGAGCAACACCAAAACTGAAGGTAAATTTTCATCAGAGAAATCACACATAAATAATCTAGTAATAGAAAGTCTATCGTAAAAAAAAGATTACGATGTAAGAGCATAACCATATAGACATTTAGTGTTTAATTCTAGAAATAGACATTAACTTACAGTTGATCAATGTTTGAACTAAATAAATATTATTCTATAAATTTATTCACTAACTGTGCTTACATTATTCGCTGTAAGTTGTAAACTACCAACGTAGTTAGCTTGTCGAAACTGTGTCTGTTTTGTTTGTTTACTTATTCTTCTGTAGTGGTAGGCTTTAATTCACAAAAAAGCAATGTTTTCAGACAAAAAAAAAACAAATCATAACAGACAATTGTCCGGTGAGGACACACACACAACACATACATGTCCACCTCCTGTTCTTATTGTTGACAATTTTGCACCTGAAGTGCAACGCGACAAATAAGAACAATCGTTCAAACGACATATTCTCTTGGACAATACTATTTTCTATTTTAAAAAGAATTGAACACATTAACATGGACGAAGCGAAACAAAAAAAGATGCAAACAAACTAATACTAAATGTACAATATTCTTGTTCGATTGAGTTGAAATGATGATATTTAAAAAAACATATATATACATAACTGCACCACCAAAGTTTATAAATGCATGCTCACAATTTTCATCACATGCGATCGTTTGTGTTTCGCGTGAATATAGTTAGTGCAGTAAAAAGTAAAGAAGAACAAAAGCCCATTTATTAATTTGAAACAAAAAAAAACGTATATAACGTATATACATATATATCCAAATCATAAGCAATAATTGTTGTAGTAATTACAAGTTAAATATTGAAATGAAAACCGAACAACAAAAATGAGCTTGATGTAAAAAACTGTATCACGTTTTTTTAGGTTCATAAAACCGAACTCATATTGTTTGTCGTTGTGAGTTGATGCCGGCACATTTGGTTGCTCAAATATGCTCCGGATGTGCCAGTTGATATTTCGAAAGCATTTTCACCGCTCATTTCACACTGAGATATATAGTCCATGCGCGCCATTAACAACGTATATATTTTTGTAATGTCTTTATCATTGAATTCTGTATTTTCTTTTAGATCGGCTTTTGATTTGAAGAAACAGGGTTATTTTGAAACGACCCAGCAACTAAGTGTTTTACCTTCAATAGAATCAAGCTTGTAGATTTTGTGCATTATTTTTTTTTCACTTTAATTTTGTGTTTGTTCTTCTTTTATCCTGCTTTGAGTTTCATACAAAGTGACAATAAAAGTAAATTATTTGTAAAATTGGTGTTCGACACACAAAATCTACACTCCAATTTTACTTTTAAATGTCAATTTTATATAACACAAAATTCATAAATTTTTAAATTAAATCGTTTTCTTTTCCAAACAATTATCATTTCAAATAACCCCATGTGAATTACCATCACAGTATCTACTATTTGAAACAAACAAAAAAAAATACGATTATAATTAAAAGTAATAAATATATATTTGTTGTAGCCATGGTAGTCAGTAAGCAAATAGTAACAAAACTCTAATGTTTAAATGGAAAAAAAGCAATTCTTTTGTGTTGTGAGACCGCAATGTAAAATGTAGTCATCACCTTTTATGTAAAATAAGAACTAAATGCTAACCACTCAATTTAACAAAAAAAAAAATGGTTTAAAAATTTTGAATTTGGGAATTCATTGAAATAAAATTGACCATTAAAAAAAATCCAAAATTTCCTATTCGTTGGTGATTTATGTATGTACGAAACTGCTTAATGTAGAAAGTGAACGATTGAAGAAGCGATTTATTTTGGCAAACAACCGATTTTTTTTTTCGATTAAATCGATTTAAAATTAATGTTTTAAAATAATCATTTGCCATTCACAATTCTTCTTCGCTCGGACTCACTTTGCCTGTGCTCAAGTTGATAAAATATATATAAAAAAATTGATGAAAAAAAAACTGATGCAAATATTTGTATTTAATATTCCCAAAAATACCAATTTTATTTTGTAGTCTTAGTTGTAGACTGTAGCAATATTAGTTGGTCAAATCCCCATTAAAACAGAATAAAACTTTCATTTTATAAGTTCTTTTTTATTTAGAAAAATATTTATAAAATTCGGTTGAGGTAGATTTATTTTTCGGTCCGGATTGAATCTATAGTTTCTCATGAATCATAATTTTTTCTTGCTAAATCACATCAAATAGTAATGCATTGCACACACTAGAAGCGACCAAAACGAACAACATAATAATCCTGTAATTTTCTGTTGTCAAAATTCACTCAAAGTGAATGTTTACGTGTGTGTTTTTTTTTGTTTGGAAAACACAATACAACCGGCAAACATAAAAGTACATGATATGTCAACCACTATGTGTGAATTTATATAATAACTGTTAGTTAGCTATTTGTAATTCATACCAGATAATTTTATTAAATAGCCATAGAATACAAGAGAATATAATATAATAATCTCACTTTTATTCGTATCTTTAATAATAACTATTTGCAACACTAACTGAAATAAATAAAATAATCAATTTTCATTTCCGTATTGGTAAAAGAAAAACTGAATGCGTATTTAAATTATTTTTAATCATAGCCATTGTTTTCTTTTTGACGTGTGCTCCCACACCCTTGATCGGTTTCACTTTTGTCTTATGTGTGTAGTTTAAGGCGTATACGTTTATTAAGCTTTTTTTCATATCATATTGAATAGACTCTTTTCTTGTACCTTTAACAAAAAATAGATTTTAATCACTTAACTTTTTCTATATATATTTTGGAATGGCATGAACACATCAATTCTTTTCTTATGACAAATTGTAAATTAGATTGTTAACTGAAAGGTGGGTGTTATATTTTGTGCTACTAAATGGTAAGTTTTAAAAGTATATCCATCGTTGGAACGAAGGCACTCTTCAAATATGAAAAAATAAACGAATCTTTTTTAAATAAAGGAATAAAAGTTATAATATATTGGTTTGTGTTTTTTTTTTGTTTGAGCAACTTTCTTACTTTCTATAATTTAAAAAAAACCTTTTTATAACTGGCATTTATGTTATTTTGATGAATGGTAAGTACAAAAAGGAACTTTTGTGACCTACTTAAATGAAAATGGAGTTTTGCTCTGAACGAAAGCTGAATTATCGTAGCAATACTTCATGAGGTGTCGCCAATCTTTGCTTAAATTCAATGTAAATGGATCGCCAATAATGATCAATAGACATTTGGCACGTGTTATGACCACATTTAATCGCCTTGGTTCACCAACAAAACCTAATTGTCGATTGGATCTTACTGTCGATACTATCATAACTGGTTTCTCTTTTCCTTGGAAAATTTCCGCTGTCCCAACCATAATATCACCAAAATTTAGTCGACGAAGTTTTTGAGAAAGTAGAATTCTTTGCTTGCGATATGCTGAAAGAAAAAACAAAATATGAAAATTTTCATCGATAATTGAATAGAAAAAAGTCAGTATACATACGTGTAACGATTCCAATGTCAGCCTGAGTTATTTGTCTAAGTCCATGCTTTTTCGAATACGGTGGCAACAATTGTTTTATTTCCTTTATAATTTCGTCGATTTCTTCGCTGTTATACCAACTATTTTCGACGGATTTTTGGCATTTTCCTTGCACCGACAGAAATTTGATTGGAAAATGCTTTGATGGTAAGAATTTCGAATTGATGTACCAGCTCGTGATATCTAAATCAAGAAAACGCATGTGTAAATATGATAAAATCCTGCATATCCAATGAATATATACTACCGTTTGCTGCAAATGGCTCTAGCTTATTGTTGTAATAGAGCTCATTCGAAACTCTGAGAATGTGTGGATGCGATCGATAGTTCTTCACGAGTTGCGTTATGTATGTTTCGTTGTATTGGCCAGTTACAGTGTGAGGGGAATAGAGATCTGTGTTGCACAGATGTTCGAGCCACGAAGTTGAATAGCCCAAAGATTTGGCTTTCTCTGACATGACGACAGCATCGAGCTGTTTTGGATCACCAGCTACCACAATTTTTGCATGGATTTGCTTCAGCGAAGTGCACACACCTAACGAATAAACACTAGAATTCAGTCATGGAATCTTAGTAATACAAGAAAGTCATATTTACCAGCAATGGGAACCATAGCGATAGGTTCAAGCGCGCTAGCTGCTTCATCTATGATAACATAATCGAAATGATCCGGCTTCCAGATCTCTTTGTCTACACGTGCTCTTGATAAGCAACCGGCACTGCATAAAGTGCACACAAGTACACGGAATTTATAAAGGAATTCAAGCGACGGGTAGGTAATTCCAGTTGGACCGAAATTCGAATATTGTCGCACTCGATAGTTAACCTTTTCATTTTTATACGATTTTGCGTAGAATCGATACATTTCGCCTTCCTTTAAAATATCAATAAGTCGTTCAGCGATCTCATCACAAGCAGCATTTGACATTGCACAAACTAAAATCTTTTCATTCGTTATTCGCACTATTTGTTCGATGGCTCCAACCAATGTACGCGTTTTTCCAGTACCTATTAACATCGAAGATAATATGCATAAATAAAAAAATAAACAAGTACAATAAAACACCAGACTTACCAGGCGGACCAAATCTGTAGATCGTAATAAATGACACAAAATGTGAGTTATTCAAAATATGGAATAGTCAATACAAAAGATGAACACTTACAGAACATAAGGCAGTTTATCTTGGTAGCAAACTATGTTCTGAACGGCTTTTTCTTGTTCAGTGTTCAAGTTGCTCAGCAGTGTGTTCTCATAGCTTTGGAAATAAAAAAAACCATTCAAATGGATTCAAAGCAATTTTAAAAAGAGACTTACTTGAGTTTGGGTCTTTTTGGCATCTTTGTACCATGTGCTTTCGGCACAATTGACATGGCATTCTTGCAATTATAATAAGAATTATTTATCAATCGAGTAAATAATTCCTGACTTTCAATGAATTCCAATGCAAAGTGCTGAAGTTGATAAGGTACGCGATTTAATTTGAAAAAGATATCGTAATATGTGCCCTTATTGAATCCCAATTGATGGACCTTGTTTATTGATTCCCTGAATATTTCAATATAGATTTTTTGTTCTTTTACACGAAGGACCTGGCCCCATATTTCACCCTTCAACTTTAAATCAGTATACTTTGGCGTCAAAATGAATCGTTCAATTAAATTTTCTTCGATTGCATTGCTCAATTCTGAAAATGCTGGCTAAATTTTTTCAAACGGAAAATATCTCGATTATTGTATTTGTATTTGAAATCGTTGGTACTGTATACTTACACTGATTGGAAACCAAAATTGTCGATCCATGTGGTAAGTAATTTGAATGTCAGACTGATTAAATTTTTCCAGGTGTCGTGTTTGCTCTTCTTCTTCGAAATAAATCATCGTTTTGTATCCATTGATATAGTCTCTTTGGTATGTTCGCAATGTTTTCTTTCTTTTCAACATATCACTTTTTAAATTGAAAATAAAATTGATTTTGTGCTTTTATCAATTCAGAATTTAAACGAATAAACTTACGCGTAATCAGTTTTGGCCAATTCTTCTGATGAAAGTGATTTGCTAACAATGTCCTTTATCTGCTTGGGCACCGGATACGATTTTAAGGACATCATTTCCAGTGGCAGTTCTTCGAGATAATTATATTGACAGTTTAGTTGACTCCATGTATCATCTTCGTCAGAGAGTGCTTGTGATTTGTTGGCTGTTATATTTTGTAAACTGCCATGTATACTTGGTGACTTTTGTGCTTTTAACTCGACTACTTTTTGTGCCCTCTTTTCTGTTTGTTTTTCGGGTTTCTTTTGTACATTTGTTTCGGCATTTGTGAATGGAAAATCGATTTCGGCATAGATTTCCGTACAATCATCGTCGATTGATGCGTTCATCAATGTGGATTCGACCTCCAAGATTTTTAAGCGATTGTCAAAATTGCTAAGCACATACCGTCGTACGTCACTTGAATCATTACCATTTGACAACGTTATCTCCGAATCGTTTTTGGCAGAAATAACGAGAACATTTTGTTGTTTATCAAACGAAACTTTTTCAATAACGTCCAACACCTGTTTTGTCGAATCCACAAAAATACGAGCTTCACGAAGACGAATAGCAATTCCCGGATCTTTTTTTGTACGTCTCAATAAACTGATGTACTCTGCATGTAGTTTTGGACCAACGAAATAAATTTCACCATCATACTTGGCCAAAAATGGTTCGAATTTCGAGAATTGAATTCGACTTAAATTCAAAATTTTGAACCACATGCTATTGGGCTGTTCCAATTTTGGCGATGTTCGTTCACCTTCCACGATTCGTTTGATGCATAGTTTATTGTTTTGCAAGACAATGTTGTTAGGCTCAAAACAGAGCTCAACTGAAGTTTCGATAATTAGTTTTAATAAGTCATGCTGTTCGGCTGTCAAATCTAAAAATCCTATTTTATACTGTACATTGTTATATTCTGCAAAAGCCACCGACTGGTTTGTGTCGATGAAAAATTTCACCGATTTGGCAGTGTTTACTTCATTGTTCTCGCTATCTGAATCATCAACACATGGAAATGCGTCGGTTGCAGCTGACTCGTATGTTATGTGCGGTTGTTTATCGGTAAAAAGATTATTGAAAAATTCTTCATCGCTTTTTTCTGAACCATTCTCTTTGTCTTCAGAACCATCGTCGCTGTCTTCTGAACCATTCTCTTTGTCTTCAGAACCATCGTCACTGTCTTCTGAAACATTCTCTTTGTCTTCAGAAAGATTGTCGCTGTCTTTTGCTACTTCAGTAATTTCTTCTTTATTATCGGTTATTTGAACAAAATTCATACCATCATTTGAATTTGGATTATCCGATTCTTCAACAGAGTAGTAATCAGACTTGTCCAAATCTTCAGTACTATTAACGTCTGCGGCAATTTCAATGACGTCATCACCGTCATTGATTTGTAACGTTGAAAGTTTTTCTATCATTTCAAATGACGATGATGATGATGATTGTTCTTCGTTCGACTGTTGATCATTTGTGTCAGCCGTGTCTATTTCAGTAACGCAACTAGAATGACCGTTATTGTCACCATTTTGTTGCAGCGCACTTTCAGTCTGAGAATTTTGATTCTCCGCTCCATTCTCCTTATCCACTAGACTTTTGAACTAAAATATAAAAGAAACAAGCCATGAATATTCAAATACTTTCTATTGATGCATTCAAATTGAACAATTTGATGAAAAATAAATGATAACGAATGAAAAATAAATATCAGAAGAAGTAAAAATATTATGCATTTACCCATCGAATAAATCTGGGCATTTTTGTAAATTTTATTATTATTCTACTCTTAATCTTAATTGTGATGTTTCGTAGATTATTATCATATTCAACGTTTAAATGTATTAAGTCTTGATTAAAGACAATACTTAGATACAAAATTAAATAAATAAAATATATATCACAAAAACGAAAATCGAAAAAAAAAATGAATCTGTTCTGTCACAGCTGTACAATTTGACTGATGGTTGACAGAATCTCAAACGCTCATGGTGAATAAAATGACGCAAATCTGACGCACTTTAACGTTGTTCAACGCATCGCACATCGCGCCTTCATACACTTCATTTCAAAACGAATTTTCTGTTTTTATGTATACACGAGAAATGTTTACATTTCGTTATAACTGACATTGTTTAACAAAATAAGTGACCATTTGTTTATACTTAAAGTCTACATTGTAAATGATGGCAATGGAATCAGCACTGAACACAGAACACTGGATAGAAAGTGAAAATATCAAAATTCAGATATATGATCGTTGGAAGTCAGTTATATTCCATGGAAAACTGTTTGATGTTTTTGCAGGCAAAATGTGACATTAAAAATGAGGAAAATCCTTTTTTCGTAAAAAATATTCATTAAAAACCATTGCTTAATACAATTTTACCTTAATAATTTTATCCTCTTTGGAATCTGTCTCGTGTTTGGCAGGCTTCTTTGCCTCAATCAGCAAAGAAAATGTTCCGTCTTCTGTTTCAATCCACTGGGTCGAAATTTTATTTCGTTTCACTTTTTTCTTTCCCATTTTTGAAAAACTTTTATTAAATTTGAATTCCTGTACAGAATCTTTTTGGTGTATTTTATCTTTTTATCGTCGCTAAAGAGCTGTCTTTGCAATAAACCTCTTCTTATTTTGTCGATTCAATGTGCACTGCACACATTACACGCTCACATAAAACCACATGTCCGGCTTCATTCAACTCATCTCAAAATGAAAAGTCATCACATTCATGCGTACGTGTGTTAAAAATGCAAATTTCAAAGAATTCAAATGTCATCTGGTTACTAAGTCTTATGAAATACTAATATTACACAAATTAATATAAATCGAAGGTTAATTTATAGCGAATTTATCCACCAAATATGTTAAATCTACGTAATTATAATAAAAAACCACAAAAACAAAACAAAACAATATTAAGAGAATAAGGAATGAATCAGTGACGTACAGCTATTCATATTCAGATAGTTTAACTGTCATTCGGCTATGTCAAAACAACGCATTTTTCTCTATGCTCTGATTTGAAAATTTACATTGTAAAAACTGACATTTGCTTTCGAATAAAGAAATGGAAAACGATTTTTGAATTATATTTCTATTTTTTATTTTGTACATTTAATGTATTTTTGGCCTGTTTTCTCTACAGAATTGGCAAGAATATATATTATGAGCGAATAATGAAGTGTTTTTATTTATCATAAGAGGATATATTTCGTCGCAAAGTTGGTGTCATGCTATTACCTTAAAATGTTTCATATCACTTATGAATGTCTACATATTTAACGATTTAATATCTTTTTACTTGCCTTGTCCATTGATTATTCAATGGACGGCTTCCTGATTGGAATGAACTTGAATACAAAATTAATTTGTAGAAAAACACATATGATATTCGAATGTAAATATTTAATTCACCTAAAATGAAGCAATTTTAATTGGGTGTCTATGTGAAGTACATTGTTTGTAATGTAAGTGTCTGTGTGAGAAACAATATCTAATACAAAAAAAAGTTACGAAATGACATGGATTTTATAGCTAACAAAAGAAATGAAAATGTTTTGTTATTTTTGCAATTATTCATAATTGGAATAACTGCTGTCTGCGGTCAACGCGTTGTATTTTTTGGTGTGTTCATCAATTTTTTCTAGAAGAAAACGCTCAAATGTGATTGTATCATCGTAATCTGTGCCACGCACATTTTGTTTGTAGAGCACTAGTCCGTTGCCATAACACATTTTGGTACGATAAAACATATTGCGAAGTGTTCGGCTGAGACTTGAACGGCGAATATGCAATGTGTGTGACTTGTGTATGACCAAATCGTGTTGTGCTACCGTTTCCAATTGTTCAAATTTAAGATTGCAATTGTGACATAAAAATTCAAAATTATGTTCATTCAAATGATTAAAGAAATTCAATGGACTTATGAAATCATCGCAACAGGCAGAAATCAGTCCTTTTTGTTCATTATCGAAGACACCACGCATGCTGACCGCTTCTTCCGAATGTTTTTTCTCATTATGAAATCGGCATTCTTTTTCCCGTTCAAATATTTCGCCACAATGATTACACTGTTGTTTTTTATACACATCAATTGCCAACAAACGCTTAATTTCCTCTGTTGCAAACCGATTCACGTTGAACATGTCCAATTTCAGTATTGCGTTGTGTTTGGTATCAATGTGTTCCGGTAGATTGTCGCATACATGATCACACATCGGGCACTTGTCGTTAACATTCACATTGACAAAGTGAATGTTGCTTGATTTGTGTTTTTTCTCGAAATGTTCTTGCATACCTGAATTCATACCAAAATGAAAATCATTCAAAAATCGATCCAAAATAAAATGTTCCAATAAATGTTACCTTTGTATGTAGTAATAACCTCACAGTAATAACATTTAACCAAAGGTTCTGTATAAAAACGAAATTTTTCTTCTGGTTGCTCGCTGTGTTCAGACAACCAATGATCATGAACTTCTTCCACCGTTGAGCCGATGAAAGTTTGATTGCCGTTGTAACACCAGTAGCATGAATAAAGCAATAAACGATCGAATATCTCATTCAATTTTTCACATTCATCTGGATGTGTATTCAAATGAATTAGCATCGGGGCGCCAAGCTTTAATTCAAGCATCGTTGATGTATGTGCTTCATTGTTATGGGTCAAAAGTTTTTCTTTGCTGGTGCCAACGTAATCGCATGATGTACAAAGAAAACTTTGACGAAAGATGTAGTCATTGGTGGCCATGGAGCTCGTCTGAAAATCACTCAATTTATGGGCGAATCGGGAACTCTTTTTTACCACAACCGCTCTAAAATCAATAAGTTGTGTTGGATGCAGCTCTTGGAAATGTTTGAGCGCATTTCGTACTTGTTTAAACTCCGTGTTACAACAATTACAAATGAATTTATTGAAGGTAGTTTCGATGAAGACCGTTTGTGTTCCAGCTTCTCGATGCAAATACTGGAATTTCCATTCGTCCTTCAGGTGTTGGTGTGCAAGATGATGCAATATACCTCTTTCAAAGTAATATATGTTGTCAACGTTGTCCTTACAACTCAGACACTTGAATACATTTTCGGAATGCTTATACATATGTCCGAGTGCACGTAATATACTGGTTCCATGTAGCTTCTTGACTTGGCCACAAGGGCATGTGTATGCATCAATTGGAGTTTCTAATTGGGTGTGTTCCCTGTCGAAATGGACTTGAAATTCATCAAGATTGGCCAACTGCACATTACATATGTTACACTTACACAGCGTATCATTATCCAGGAATTCGTATTCAAAGATTTCCCGTATTGGATTCATGTTTGGAATCAATGTGATTCTTTCGAAATATTTTATAGATTCTTTTTTACTGAAGCCGTGTTGGTTTCGCAAGTGCTCAGTCAGTTGGTTTTGATTGATTTGCAAGTAATTGCATTCCTTGCACATAAAAGCGGTTAATGCGCCCTCCGGTGAGTCATTCAATTCAAAAATTGTGATTAAATTTCGTTGGTTGCAGTTCGAATGGAAGTCACTCCGATCTTTAAGTACGGCTTTACAGCTGGTGCAGTGAAACAGTGATTCGCCGGTGTGCGTCAAAATGTGATTAATCCAAGAAGATTTTGTTAGCGTTTTTATCTCTTCGCAGAAGAAGCAAATGCCACTTATTTTACTACGAAAGCTATCAAAGCGTTGACTTTGAGCACGAATCGAATTTGCCATGGATGGCGATGGGCGTGCAATGGCCACTTCATGATTTGGATGGTGTTTTACATAATGCGACACCATATTCTTTGCCTTATTGTCACAGAAAACACATAATGTTTGATACAAATTGTTTGTGTAGTAAATATTTGGATTTGTGTTTTTCATAACACTTTGTTTTCGCTCGACATTAATGTGCTCGACTTTTGTGTTTTCACCATCAACGTTTGGTCGATCCAATGCAATTGTTCTGCGTCGTTTTTTGATATTATTTCTAATTTGAGAATCCGGCCCACTTTTTGCCACATCTTCGATCGAATTTGGTTGTTTAGTTTTTGCTGCAACATTTTGATTGACATTTATAATTGGTATAAGTATTGAAATGAATCTCTATATCTTACCTGGAAGAACATCGAACGATTTTCGACGCTGGTATACTGTCAATTTTTTTAAATCCAAACGTTGTAGTTTCACGTACGGATATTCATTTGCATACTTCGGATTTGGTGTACATTTCCTTTTCGGTCGAGTTGTCGCCACTGTAGCATTTGCATCGCTTGAAGATTTTGTTGTGCGAGATCGTGATTGGTGACCAGTTCCAGTTAATATTCCAGATACACCCAACGTTGATGCCGATTGTTGAGTAGATTGACTCTCTTGAGATGATTCAATTTCTTTTTCATCTGGAAATGCATTCACGGCTTCACGCAATTTTCTACCGATCGACCAAATTCCAACGATTGAATATGAATGTCTTAAAAGAAAAAATAAAATGATAAAAAAGCAATACTTACTTTGAAACGTCGTTCAATATTTTTAGACAACCACAACGACTGTTTCTATTCCCGTCCTCAGCACTGTCCAGTGTCTGCAACACATTTGTAGCCAATTCTTTTAGCCATACACGAATTTTCTGGTCCATTTTTCTGACACAAGCATGCTGAATGTAATGTAAAACAAGCATGGCGTTTAATCACAAGCAAATTGTAAAATATTCGTATTGATCATTATTAATATGAACGAGTTGACTTTTTCAATATACAAATTTATTAAATACGACAATCGATTAAATAGTTTAGTTCGGTGCTCGTGATATCTCATAAAAAAAGCTACTCACCAATTTCGACAAAATGAATGAAATGCAATTGGTCACGCGTGCTTCAAGTGTGAATACCCAACTGAAACTGTGACACAACGAGAATTAAAGCATCAAAGGATGTAGACTGGCGTCACAAAGTTTTTTTTATTCATTTACAACAGCGGTGCTTTAAGTATACAAATGACCCACTCATTTGAATCTCGCACACAGTCAAATTTTAATACTTGCACAGTTCGATGATTGCTGTCAAACTACAGTCCAATTCTTACATACACAATGAAACAATTTGGTTGCTGGCCGTAAATTTTTGTTAGCGAATTTGCACCATTCAAAATAAATATTCTTTTTAGACTTAATGCAATGAGTTTATTGTTTAAATGTCATCATTTTTCGAGGAATCTATAAAATGATCGTAAATCTTGTTTAAAATTTCTATTGTTATTTTTACTTTTCCGCACACATAGTGTAAGGTGAAAAGTATTGTAATCGGTCAAAATTTTGAAAATTTCAGAAACATGTTTTTTACCTATTATTGAGGTCAGAGAACACGATTTTGGCGTTTTTAAACATGGTGTTTGTTAATCTGTACGTCGTACGTTGTACGTCGTACGCAAAATTTGTTAGCAAGATTGCGCTCATCGTAGAAACTTAATTCAAAATTTGACTTTACAGGATGATTGGGGGTTGCGAGGAATAGAAATCATTAGATTTTGAGCGACTTTGGTTGATGGAAAAAAAGTTTCATGCCTGGAGTGATACCTATGAAAAAGAGTCCAATTTTCGTCCAAAAGTCATACTTAATGTAGACTTAAACACTCAAAAATATGTATTGGGGGGTTTTTGACACGAGAAAACCGAATACGAGGTTAGTTTTGAGATACAATCAATTTTTGATACAGTTTCCTTGAAAAAATCATAAAAAAATTGAATTTTTGTATGGGAGCCATGCCTGTATGCTACCTTAATGACGTGAAACTTTGCACAGACTATTTTTTACACAAAAAAATAACATTCTGAAAGTTTGAAGAGTTTTCAATCAAAATAAGGGGTACCTCCCATACAAAATATTCAATTTTTGGCTCAAAAACGAATATTTTGTATGGGAGGTACCCCTTATTTTGATTGAAATCTCTTCAAACTTTCAGAATGTTATTTTTTTGTGTAAAAAATAGTCTGTGCAAAGTTTCACGTCATTAAGGTAGCATACAGGCATGGCTCCCATACAAAAATTCAAATTTTTTGTGACTTTATAGTTATGAAAAGTGTTTCAAAAATAATTTCTATGGCAAAATTAACGTCAGACATATTTTTTATAGTGTTTTGTTAGAAAATAGAATACTTTCAAATGTCATACATGAGTTCATCATGATAGTGTGAAAAATCTTTTGCGAGTACTTCTGCTATTAAATTAAAGAATATTTCGATGTCAAGGTTTGAAAATATTTTTTGGTCTCGAAATTTACGCCGCTTGAAAGGCTTGAAAAATCGAAAAAATATGATTTCGAACTTTATTATAATATAAAAAAAGGTCCTGCCAGTAGTATAATAAACAAAAATATTGTTTTTTTTTGTTGTTGAAATCAAAATTCGTAATTTTATTAATTGGTATTTCTGTATTAAATATTCAATAATTAAGTTCATTTTTTAAATTTCGTTTATTCTGAAAAGATCTTTTGTGACTGGAATTTTTCAAAATTAATTTCCCTATGAAGGCATTTTATAGTGTTGCACTATTTCACTTTTCGTGCAATTGTCTATGGATACCGATAAATGCTTTGAATCATTGCGTTGTTATCAAGACAATATTCGATCAGACTATTCCAATTTGAATCGTTTTGAAGGGAATGTGGATCACCCACGATAATTAGAAGGCACTTGGCACGCGTAATCATTACATTAAAACGTCGGGCATTGTTCACAAAACCTAATCGATTTCCACCAGACCGTACTGTCGACACAATCATCACGGGTTTTTCTTGTCCCTGGAACGCCTGCAAAGAAAATTTCGAATTTAATAAAAAATGTACCGATTTGCAGCCAATGATCAAATACCTCTGCTGTTCCGATCGTGATATCATCAAAACCTAACCGGTGGCAAGCCTGTGCAATTTTTCGACGTTGCATCTGATAAAATAAAACAGAATGAATTTGGTGTTTTTGTTTAAACATAAATAAGCTGTATTGTTCACCTTGTATGGTGTAACGACTCCTATATCGGATTGTGAAATTTTCATAAAATGGTTGTATGACGGTGACAATAGATTTTTGATGAAGTCAATCACAGCCATCACTTCCATGATATTGAATAGACTAGAAAAAAAAGAGAAACGCAGTTGTTCATTAACAAAATATCCTTGAAATATGAGATAACACAAATACACGCTTCCAAACAAATTAAATTCACCTCTTGTTCACCTCAGATCGTTCAACATTATACGATTGAACGGATTTAAATATGATTGGGAACCGTTTACTGGGTAACAGTGGCGAATTTATGAACCATCCAGTCACGTCTATATAAAAAAAAAAAAAAATTGCATTTATTTTTATCTCCTCAAATCTCGCTGGTTCAAAATCACCTTCAGATGCAATCGGAATCAGTGTGTTTTCATAAAAAAGTTCATTGGGCAATTTCAGAATGGACGAATGTGATCGATAATTGCGAATCAATTGTGTGATGTAAGTTCCATTGAATTCCGTTGTGCCATCATTTCGTTGATAGAGTTTGTGTTCACACAAACGCTGTTTTACAATGTTGTTGGAAAGAAGAAGGAATAAAATGTGGTAGAAATGGGAAAAAAATCGGTTTCAAAAAAAAAACGTAATAGATTTCATACCTCAAGAAAAGACGTTCGAAATCCTAGTTCTTTGGCTTGCTCTGATTTGGTAACCGCATCCAGCTGCTTTGGGTCACCAGCGAGAATAATAGAACAATGTATTTTGTTCACCGTTGTACATAAACCTATGAAAAATACATTTTTTTATTTAGTATGCTTCATTTGTACGAATGCAATTTTACCTGCAATCGGAATTAACGTCATCGTTTCGAATGCGCTATTGAAAACAAAAGAGATATTATTTAGAAATAACTTTGCAACTCCGTTGAATATAATTATAGAATTACCTAGCACTCTCATCTATAAAAACATATGAAAAATGGTTTGCAGATATTCCAGCTCTGGTGAGAGTGCCTGCAGTGCACAATGTGCAAACTAAAACGCGGAATTTTTGTAGAAATTTTAACGATGGATAGTGAAATTCTTGGCCAGTCCAATTGCTGTATGGCACAAGTAATGGATTCAGCTTGCACACATCAAATGTCTTTGCATATAATCGAAATAGTTCGTCTTCGCACAGCACGGCCGTTAAACGTTCGGCAATTTCGTCGCATGCGCCATTCGATTGAGCACACACCAATACATTTTTTGAGGTTAGAAGAACGATTTGTTCGATTGACGCAACTAATGTTCGCGTTTTACCTGTGCCGGGTGGCCCTATAAAAAACAATATTATTTGAAGAAAAAAAACAATAAAATGTAAATAATTTACCTATCAAAATGTACGGCAATGGATAGTTCTTCGCATGTACAATATTTTCCACAGCCGATTCTTGCTCGGGATTCAGTTGAAACATGGAATCACGGCTAGAATTGCAACAAATGTTATTATTGCAATTGGGCATGTTCAATCAGATTTAAAATATTTGTTGTTTTACCTCAGTTCAAAATTGTTGAGAATTGTGGGGGCAACTGGTCGTTTAACATCATCATATGCCGGATTATCAATCAATTGATTGAATAAACGATGGTCTCGCATCAGGTCCAGAGCATAGTGTTGCATACGATATGACAAACGATTGAAGCGAAAGAAAATGTCGAAGGGCTGATTTTTGTACACTTTCTTAAATGCCGCATACGATTGCTCATACATTTCAATGTAAATTTTTTCCTCGTCCTTTCCTTTTATCGAACCAAAATAGTTCTCCAACCATGATTCATCGGTTGTTACCGGCTTCAATCGCAGTGCATCCAATAAATTCTCTTCAATTGCCGCTGAAATTTCGGCCATTCGGTCCTATAATCAAAAAAATCAATCAGTTATATTTGTGTTTGTTTTGCACATTTTCATCAAATGTCACCTCATTCAAAAAAAAGAAAATCCGTCCCGTTCCTCCATAGAAAATTCGTACAGCAGTTTGATCAAATGTCTTCATGAATTTGACATTGGCTGCTTCTTCAAGGTGGATCATAGTATTGAATGCCTTGTGATAATGCTGTATCTTCTTGCGATACAATTCAACCGAGAAGTTTAGTGCCAATGGTTCTTCCTTTTCCAATGACTCCCAGACGGCGGTAGGGACTGTGTATGGCGGTATTGTGGCCATTTCTAATCGTCTAAAAATAGTATAATCAAAAAATGCACACCAAACAGATACAAATGATCTAGTCTACTCACTCTGCCGTCATTTCACCATGACGTTTTATCTTTTGCTGCTCTTGATAGCTGACTCCGGTTTGTAACCAATTTGATTTCAATATTTTAATCGGTAAATTTGGTGTGGTTGGAAGTTGTATCGCAGTGGACATTAATTCATTCTGAATTACATCGTTCTGGACGGTTTGTGGAATTTTCATCGGATCGTTTGTTACGTTGCCATTGTAATCTTTAAAAGCTGCTGCCTCTATGTCTTCTTCGCAGTTTGTCGTTATATCATTCAATTCAGAATCATTATTTGATTTTTTTGCACCAATTGTCAGCGACAATGTACCATCACTATTTTGTACCCAACACGTGGTATTTACACTGCGCTTCGTTTTGGATTTTTTACTTTTCAATTTGGATGACATTTTTTTCTTCTTCAATTAATTGCAATTTTTCAATAGCAAAAATGTTCTTCAATTAATTGAAATTCGTTTAAGTTTTAATCTATGAATATAAAATTGATTTGAGTAGGATTCTATGCAATAAAAGTCGGACGGAGTACAAAAACAAATCTATGATGAAATCAATTAATACTGAGCTTCTCAACGATTCGGTATAAATAAACTGATCGATGTGTCGATGTGGTGCCGTATATGTATGAACAATTTTGACACTTGACATTCAAACGTGAATTTCAATACTAACACATCAGTGCATTCACTTTGTCAAATTGATGAAGTAGGCTGTATTGTATTCGATTTTAACGTTGACACTGTTTGAGTGTATGTTATTTGTTGACAAAAACGTTATTTGGAAATATGAGTTTGTTTTGTTTGACCGTCGATGAATGGATTGCATGGTGTATTTTTCGCTTTCTTATGTTCTGTTTTGTTCTGATTATTTTTGAAAAAGGAAAACCGCTTACAGTTCTTACAATCTTGTATGCTTATCACAATTTTTTCACTTTTTGAATTCAATACGGAATGTTTATTTGTGATGAATGTTTGTGAATGATGTTTGAGTGAGGCAAAATGAGTCACGGATGCAAGAACTTAAACATATCGATGACTATACTGATTCAATACATTTGTATGCACAATACTCTTGAAATTCATCATAATGAAAATACGGTTTACAGATAAACGGTTTCTTTTATTGATGCATATAAATATTATATACATAAGTATCTTCTTTTTGTTTCGATTTTACGTTACTTATTTTAGTTTTTTTTTGTTTATGAAAAAGCATATCGAAATGAATATATATTAACTCTAAATACACGATTGTTTTTGAGTGGTGTTATGGCTGATTGATATTAGTTTGGTAGCCTATTGGGGATATCGATAACTGCTCTGAATCAAGCCATCATTCTCTAGAACAAAATTAATGAATTTCTTCCAGTTCGCGTCATAACGTAATAAATGTGGATCGCCGACTACAATTAGAAGACATTTTGCTCTGGTAATCATCACGTTGAACCGCTAAAATTGAAAAGAAAAAGTCATAACATAATAATTGCTTGGACATTTGTACAGAATGTGTTAGTCATACCCGTTTGTTGTTCACAAAGCCGAGCTTATTTCCACCCGACCGAACTGTCGACACAATCATTATCGGTCTTTCTTGACCTTGAAAAACCTGCACAGAAAATTATGAATTTAATAAAAATGTATCAATGTTGCAGCCAATGACTAAATACCTCAGCGGTTCCGATTGTAATCTCGTCCAAATGAAGCACATCGCATTCATGTGAAATGCGACGACGTTGCATCTTGTATGGTGTCACAATACCAATATCATCTTGTTTAATGCATCTTCCATTGTTAAGTTTCATTTTTAGCAATTTTTTCACATAATCCATAACTATATCAACTTCTTTTAAGTTGAACATGCTACAAAAAAAAAAATGTGTGTGCCGTACATTAGATTGCTTTAAATTAAAAAAAAATGTTTGAGTGTTTACCTTTTGTTGACGTCGGATATTTTTGGAATACCTTGCACAGATCGAAAAATGATGGGAAAATTTTTCGAAGGTAAAATTGTGTTGTTAATAAACCATCCGGTCGCATCTGAAAATAAATTGAAAGCAAAATATTTGAACAGTCAATAAATGTTAGAGGATCCCGTGGGCTGAGGCGTGATATTGATAAATCGTGTACCTTCTGACGCTTTTGCCAATAAAGTTGATTTATAAAACAGTTCGTTTGGAACTTTTAAAATGGAATGGTGTGAGCGATAATTCCTCACTAGTTGCGTAATATATTTGCCGGAGAATTGTTTTGTTATTGAGTCATATTGATATAGCTGACGTTTGAATAAATGTTCCAAGAAAGATGTTCGATATCCTAATTTAATCGCTTCGTTAGACTTCGTAGCCGCATCCAACTGATTCGGATCCCCAGCAACCACTATGTTTGCAAGCACCTTACCGGGTCGAGTACATAGGCCTGAAGTGAAATAAAGTGTAGTTTGAAAAAAACTTTATGTAATTTAATTCAATTTCAAGTCAAACATACCAATTATAGGAATTAATGACATTGTCTCATGTGCGCTGGCGCACTCATCGATAATCACATAGTTAAAATGATCCGTTGGCATGGCTGCTCTGGTTAAAAGACCTGCTGTACACAATGTACACACAACGACGCGAAACTTTTTTATAAATTCCAATGGTGGATAGCAAAAATCCGTATCATTGGATCCAATCCAATTGGAGTATGGTACGATTTCTGTTTTCAGCTTGTGAACGCCAAATGATCGTGCGTACAAACGGAACATTTCTTGTTCGTTTAATACGGGCAGTAATCGTTCTGCGATTTCATCACATGCTGCATTCGATTGAGCGCAAATGAGTACATTTTTGTCGGTAGATTGGACTATCTGTTGAATGGCCGCCACCAATGTTCGTGTCTTGCCTGTGCCTAGATTTACATCAAAGATATTATGCGTAAATAAAAAATAAACAAATACAATCATAAAATACCAAACTTACCAGGCGGACCAAATCTGTTGATTGTAATAAATTAAACGAAAAGTCAGTTATTCAAAATATCGAAAAATCAATACAAAAAACTTACAAAACATACGGCAAAGGATAACTTGTGGCATTCACAATGTTTCGAACTGCCTCCCTTTGCTCTGAGTTAAGATTAAAATTTGACCTAAAAATCACAAAAAAATTATCATTTTATTGCTTTAAATGGAAAACTTTTTTTATGCTCACTTGTCCAAAAAAATTTGTCGATCGGCAATGGAAAGTTCATTTTCATCACTGTCATATTTGGCATTATTTATCAAAACTTCAAATAAACTGTGATCATGTAGAATATCTAATGCAAGATGCTGCAGTTGAAAGGGAGTTCGATTCAAAACAAAATGAATGTCAAAAGAATTTTTTGTAAATAAAGATTTGAACTCTTCAATAAATGTTTCATTTATTTCAATGAAAATCTTTTCCTTGTTGTTGCTTTTTATATGGCCTTCGTAACAACGAGGTGCAATTTCCACTGGCGATTTTGTCTTTTCATGAAGTGTCAGATAAAATTGATCCAACATATTTTCATCAATTGCAGCACTGATCTCTGCCATTCGTCTCTGTAAGTACCAAATATAATAATAATAAGATTAATCAAATAGAAATGGTCAACCACACTCAAACATACTTCGTTCATAAAGTAAAATATGTGATTGTCACCGGTGTAGAAAACCTCAATGTCCACTGTGTCAAAAGTTTCTACAATACGCGTTTGTGTTGCTTCTTCCAAGTATACCATTGTATTTGAGATATTTAAGTAGGTATCGGCCGATTTTCGGTACGCAAAATTTTCGGTCGGGAAATCAAACGGTAATCGCTTTCCACTTTCCACAGCATTCCAAATTTCTTTTGGTATAGGGTATAGCGGTAACGGTGCTAAATCAAGTTGCCTGCGAAAATAATATTGAATAATTACTGTACTAATTATCAAGGTGAATTTCACTTTTTTCCTCACTTTGTCATCATTTCAATTTTACGAAAAATGTCTGGATGGACTGGTGATTCGGTGAGTCTATCTAATACAGGAGCTTCATCATAAAAATTCATCTCTTCAAAATGCAATGAAATATATTCATTTTCTTTATCCGAATTCTCTTCATTTTTGCTTAGTTTTTGTTTAAACAACTTTGCCCAGCTGCTAACGGTGCTATTAATGTTCGGTGTGTTATTTTTTTTCAATGTAATCAGAGAATGAGTTCCATCTTTATTTTGTACCCAATCAATGATTGATGCATCGCGACTAATTTTTTGTCTTGGCTTTCTTGACGGCATTTTGAATATTTTTTATCAATAAAATCAAATCACGTAACACTAATTTAATATTTAAAATTAAAAAAAAACAGTACCAAATTTTTAGACGATGTATGCACAATTTACAAAAATATATAAAACAAGTGTCAACCGGTTCACGTGAATTCTTTGTCGCAACTAATTACAGCTAACCCAGATTGATTGTGTTTATGTATTTGAAACAGTATAGCTACCACTACAAACCTAAATAACTATGTTTGCTGTATTGCCGTCGCTGTATGATATAAACAACCTTTTCTTACATTTCTTTATTTCGTCAGTTTCTGCTTATTTCGTTGTTTCACCGCGTGCACTGCAATACATCCAAATACACTTTTCATAAACACAGCAGTAGGCTTTGTTTTTGCTACAATATTTCCGAGAATTTTTATGATCATGAAAACGGTGTGTGGCGAACTATTTGATAACAAGGATTTGTCGAGCATTTATGAAATGGCGATTTTTGAAAACGCAATTGAAAAAAATACATATTTTAGGAGATCATTTTTAAATTCGGATCCAAATGGATTAGAATTTTTTAAAATTGTTTTTTTTTATAAAATCGAAACAAAAAATATATAATAAGTTTTAACGGAAATTATTTCAAAGAGATGATTTGGCTATTTCCACTCTCCACTCTCATTTCAAATGTCACTTTCCAATTTACGATGCTTTTCATACACCAAATAAAATTGTCAGCATTTTTTAAAACCCATATACAGTAATTTTTGAATATAAAGGCACTGTATGTATGTGTATGTGTAATCAAGCCTATAAATTTTTTGCGGTGACTGTGAATGTGTTCGTGTCAAATACTCCCTTCACGTATCCGACATTTTCGATAGCATCAGTTTAATGATGCTGCTGATCTTGAATAATTTCATAGCGTTCTACATCTGATTTGTGAGGCTGTGGTGTTTAATCATCGGACATCTTGTCAAACATATATTTTGCATAAGAGCACATTCAAAGATGTTGTGGAAAAAAGAATCAGATCAAGAAAGTTCGATGTACATCGACTTATTTACATCGCCATTAGTGGATTCTGAAGAGCTCGACAAAATTTACAATCTACACAATTATTTTTCTGTTACTGCAAATGCAAGACATGGTCCATTCAAGGAAAAAAATTCGGAAAAATCACTTCATTATCGGCAAAAAGGTAACGCAATGTTTAACGAGGCGAAGTGGATTGATGCAATGGAGTTGTACAATCAATCATTATGCTATGCTGAAAACGGTTCAGAATTGATGGGGTTAGCTTACGCAAATCGGTCGTCATGTTTTTTTAACATGAAAATGTATCGAAAGTGTCTTGTTGACCTTGAGCTCGCCATGGAAAATAATTATCCGTCGGATAAAATGACCAAACTGGAAAAACGCAAAATTACCGCCTTGAGCATGATGGACAATGATGAAGATAAAGGTGGCATGTATGAGCCGAACTTGGATTTTATGTCAAATGAAAAATATCCGTGTTTTGCAAATGTGTTGAACATCGAAAACAATGAACAATATGGCCGACATATTGTTGCAACAGAGGACATTGAAGTGGGCAAAACCGTGATGGTCGATCAAAATTATTTTGCCAATTCGAGTAAAAGGTACAATTATACTTAAAACATTTTGATTTTCTTTCGCTAATTTCGTGTTTTTTCTTTTCTTTTCATCCTTCTAGGTACACACGGTGCAACATTTGTCTGCGAAGCGACGAAAACTTGAAGCCATGCCAAAAATGTTCATTCACTTTGATATGTCCGAAATGTGCGGAAAACGATTTGCACTCGATTGAGTGTGACATTAATCCAAGCTATTTTGTCAGTACGGGAATCATTAGTGCGCGAATGCCAATGGTTCGATCAATTCTTTTGGCAATAAATACATTTTCCGATATTGATGAGCTGATTGCTGTGGTCGAAGAAATGATGAAAAACGATTTGGTCGAAGCACCTGAAGCATTGGGCGATCCAAAATTAAACTATCGAGCATTCTTCAAATTGCATCCGAATTTGAAGAACCACACACATGAATATTTTGCGCAACAGATATACTTCATATATCAATCACTTATGAAACTGCCGTGTGTGACAGAATTTTTTCACTCTGAGGCACACAAACGCTTTTTGAAGCATTTGATCGGTCATCATTTAATGGTTATAAAATATTCAGCTCAACGGCTTCGACTTGAAAGTGCAAAAATCAACTTGTTTGGTCAACATTGCGAATCGCAATTGAACGATTACGATTATCGCATGAGCATACCAGGGTCATATTTTAATCATTCATGTGTCCCAAATGCTTACCTTCGATTTCAAAATGGCTTCACTGTCTGCATTGCCCTACGAGCAATTCGAAAAAATGAACAGGTGTATGTGCCTTATGATATCAGCGTTTTGACCGAGGAAAAATCAATACGGCAGCAAATATTGCAATCCAATTTCAACTTCCGGTGCGTGTGTGAACGTTGTAAGATGCCACGGTTGGAATTGTCAAGCATGCAATCAAATTACCAAATCAAATCGGACTTTTTGTATCGTTCTATTTGTATGGACGTGATAGAAGAACTTGAAGCTGAAGGAACGCGAGGATTCAACTTTACCTGTGCACGTCACTTCCACGATGTAATGACACCAAAATGCTTATCTTTGCTGAAAAAATACGGCACATCAAAATGGTGCTCTGAAATCTACGACATCATTGTTAAGTTAGAAACGGTGGCAGGGGTTCAAGAAGGTGGTTTGACGAAAGTGCTAATCTGTACGCCAATAACAAATTGTGAATTTCTTGAGTATTAAGTCTCACACACAAACCTTTCGACAATGAGTCTTTGATTCAACATTTTTTATTAATATTTTGTTCAAAAGTTATATTTTAACTTGTTATTATTAAGCATTATTCACGTTCACTTCAGTTTAGTTACAAAAAATAATTGTATTCTACAATGTTCAAGAATTTTAACTGAGTGTTGAACTATCATCAATTAACTTTCACATCAAAGTGAAATAAAATCATCTTTGTAGCTTTTAAACGGTTGATGTTGTTTTGATTTAATTTCATTCCAGCTCGAACATAAGATATAATTTCATGTTTCATTTTACTACGGTATTCCATGTACAGAATAATTGAACTGAACTTTGACTGCTGCTGTTTCTTGAAAACTAAAATCAACGAATTTACTAACCTTAAATTAGTTCATTACATGGTAAGTGGCCCACTTCTATTGGGGGTAGAGTTTTTAGAATTTCTAATTTTTTAAAAATCAAAGTTAAATATATTTCGATTGTATGATGCAGACCATATACTGAGCATAGATATTTATCCGAGATATTTTGTGAGTATCAGATAAATAACGCAACAGACCATGCATTATTGCAACTTCTAAACGAACTGTGTACAAGACTTGAATCGACGTGTTTGATTTAAACACAATTCGTTTGAATGAGTAATAATGCACAGATCGACTTTCATGCTTACACACCAACTCATCGTTTTCCTCGTTTGTATACGATGTACGCGCCAGCATCTTTGTTTGAGTATATAATACATCACACGCGTGTGAGTCTGTAAGTATGAGCCTCGATCTGTGCACTGTTACCCCTTCAAAATTTATTCGAATCTATTAAAACAACTTCCTCACTTTCTGGTCAAAATAATTTAAACAAAATCAAACTTATTCAATGAAGGCAAAACAATTTTAAATTTATATGAATTTTAATAAACGGCTCTCTATCCTAGCCAACCTATATACTTACAACTTGTTCACACTTTGTATTCGTCGGTATCACACTTACCGTTAATATTGAATGCATGGAAGCTATTTTAAAATTGAAAAAAAAAAAAATCATCCGCATCATCCACTGTAAACCCAAAGAAAATCGAATACGAAATGAGATAACACATTTTATTGATGACGTGATGATATTTATTTCACAACAAACGATATAATGGTTTTGTTCGGATTTATCATTTTCTTTCTACTTTTTCATTGCTACGTTGAGAATGTGTTTTTGCGTCTTGTTGTGGCTGTACAATGATTTCTTGTTGGCGTATTGAAAATTGCAAAATTCGCAGAACAGCGGATTCACATTATTCGGTTCAGATTGTGGTACAGCGCTCTTTAGTATGTATCCAGTATTGGGGAGTGGCTGTGGTACCACCGGTGCATCTTCATCCAATGTCGATTGTTCTGCTTCTTCATCCATATTGAAATCACTCACCTCCATTTGATCCATTGATTCAGCGACACCATTTCCATTTGCCGCGTAAACCATGACTCGTGTAAAGCCGGCCGTATCGTGCACGATTTGTGAAACCGTTTGATTTGTATCGTGAGTAATTGGCTTGAAACACAATGTGACTGGAAGTGGAACTGTATGCTCTGCATTTTGATGACGTCGAAAATTGTCAACGCTGATTGTGCCGGTTCGTCGTTCTACAACTTTGGCTGTCGGTTTTGTCAAAAATTTTGCACTCTTTTTCGCATTGCCATCGTTTTGAACATTTTCATTGTTTGGCGCATCTATTTCGATCTTGCACATCACTTCTGGATAAACTTCAACTTCATTATCGTCGATATCATCTTCATCATCGATCAAAATGATTTCATCCGGATCAAAAGGCAATTGCCGAGCATTTTCTGTCGGCTCCGCCTTGATGGCACCGTTCTGATCCATTACTTTTTTATGTACGACCTTTATTCCTCGGAGAACTCTTGTTTACTGTAAATAATAGTTGACAAACTGTAACTTGACATTGACTACAAAACAAACAAAAAGATGACTGTCTGTGGTGAAATCAGTTCTACGAATAATTCATTCGATGAAAATCAACAGCCGAAATACGTTCAACATAGCGGTTCAACACATTTACACTGACATACGCTGTCAGATGTCAAATTCTTCTGAATAGAATTTTGATACTCTGTTATGGTGGTGTATGTGTGTGTGTGTGTGTGTTTGCAATTCTTCCTTTTTACAGTATGAATTTATGTTTGTTTGTACGCATCAGAATGCAACAGAAACTTGGCCATTTATAAAGTAGAAAAATGTGATTTTTGAGAAATTGAGATTATATTATGATGATTAAAAATGGTAGCGACATATGTTTAAAATTTAATTTATAACGTTTCACGATTGTCTGCCCATTGAGAGTCATATTGCCATTAGCAAATTTACGCACAACATCTGTTTGACATTTTATGTTGTGGTTTTCTAAATTTTGCCGTTGTGAAATTATGAAATTCTTCCAAATCATTTATTTGCTCAAACAGTTCCTGCAGTTTTATCTAAAAGTCACTGATTTTGTATTAAATGCTTCATCATTAATGAAAAAAAAAGTCAATAGCATTCCTTTTGTAGGCCATAAATTAATTTTGTTTCTAATTTAAAAAATGCCCCGATCTAGGTACATTCTTTTTCATAAATTCGATAAATATTTTCTCACGTGTATTAGGAACCAAAAACTTTATCATTGACCTTAACTCCCTTAAGTGTAGTAAAGTTCTCTTATGTAATCGCTTAAATTAATGGTAATTAAATCGTAAATTTAAAATCATCAATTGAAATATTATTTTTGGCAAGAGTTTCAAGCAGGACTTGTAGTGAAATACTTTTTCAATTCTGCAATTATAAGTCATTTTAATTAAAAAAAATCAAAATCCTCCAATCTAACAAACTGTTTACTTACATTTAATCGTTTATTTAATTTTTATATTATATTTTTCTTATCGTTAGCATATATACGTGTCAGACAATCAAAGTTTTATATAAAATTATATAATTTTTTTATTTTCTGTCATATCCATTAAATCATTTATAGGTATTTGTAATAATATTTCACTGACATTTCAATGAGTGTATTGCTGTAATGGGAATAGCTTATCATAAAGTGAAGAAAACACGATGGGTGTGATTTTCAAATAGCTTTTATTGTAATAAATTTATTTATTTTAAATTGCCTCCTGAGCATAATTTAATTCAAATTACTTTATGTCTGTTGTGGTGAGAGTGTTCAGTTCATAATAATAATATGTATTGATTTACAAAAGAAGAAATGTTTGCTTCATTTTTGTTTTCATTCAAACGATTTACTGCAATAAGAAACCAATAAAAAATATAGTAAATCATAGTTTTCTCACAGCCGTAGGATTGGTATTAATTTCTGTAAAAGAAAAAAAAAAAAAGTGATTAGAATGTTATAAATTCCATTGGAATCATATCAAGATGTATAACGTTACCTGGGCAAATTGCAAATTTCGCAACTGCTGAGTTCGCCACGGTTTATGAACGTACAATGGTTGCAGGTCCAATCGGCTGCTGTTGGTACTGAGTTTGTATCTGGATAATGTTCCATGCCACTGTTGCAACAATAAACAATTTTAATTAGTTAAATTAATTCAGTTGGGGTAACATTTAATGAGTAAGACATGTGCAAAAACGTAAATTTACCCGCTGGCAGAGCTTGATGCTGTGATTAATGTTTCGAGTGTACTCCATACTTCTTGTTCCTTCCATTGCACGGCGGCTGCATAGTTTTTGTTGCGTACCGCTTCCAACAATGGGCCCATGGCCGATTTCATGGGTAGCATGTCCATGAAGTATAAATAGAGTAACAGATGAAAATCGGAGATTGCCTCAAGAAATTCGTTTGGTTCCCATTTTGAGATGTATGCACTCAGCGCATTGAAATCTTGTAGTTGACCGTCGATGTAACGATTTTCCACTGGGAACATATCCTTCGTATCGCGTGCAGTGAATGTGTATATCGGTGTGAGAGGCGTTGACGCAGGTACATCAACTAACAAATACTCGACTGGTAATGGTCGTGCCATGCGAGATACTTCATTGCCATATTGATCCTTCACCTGTAAAGAGATAAACAGAAAATGCAATCACTTTCATTTCCGCTTTTTTGCAATCGAACAGAAAAAAATCAGAGAGAGAATCAAATGAATGTGCAAAATTGAAATTGAAATTGAATTGTACAAATAGATATACGTATGATCTGGTGATAAAGGGGTGAAACATTTCAGTCAACAACAAAAAATTGATTTCATCAAAATCGATTTCATGCATCAAAACATACTTCAATTTTCCATCCAATCGTGACCATAACAATTTGAATAGTTCAAGTGTCTAAAGTCCAACAATAATACAATACTTCATGTGCAACTCATAGATTCAGAGGCTGATGCAATATTTCAAACACAGGAAGAAATCATATACGGCTATATTACGTCAAACTGGCATAATTTAGGTCAGTATATACAGTATAGCAAATCCTTTTCCATAACTTCCGCTTCTATTTTCTGTTCACTCTTTCAACTCTTCGACTCTCTCATGCATTAATGCAATATTTTCACATATAAAAAAATCTCTAAATATTACCATCATCACTTTATTTCTCTATTTTCTCTGTCGTAAAAGCGAAGCGTAACAGAAGGTCACGTTCGAAGATGGAAATAGGGAAAATATGCGTTTTGTGAATTAGGTCATGGTCAGGTTAATAGGTCAATTCATTTATGTGAAATTAAATACACTCTTTCGCTATGTCTCTATCGAACATCATTATTGCCTTTATGGAAAACTAAAACTAAATAAATGGAAAAATGCTCGTTAAATCCATAAAACGATACAATCTTGCACTCCAGAAAATCGAACAGATATTTATAAAATTTTCAACACCCCTAGCGAGAAATGTACGCTTGCACATCGATATGAACCACAATCGACACTAATAATCGAGTTAAATAACACAACATAAAATATAATTTAATAAAAACATTTAAAATAAGTATCAAATTAACAATATTTGTAACTATTGCTTTTCAACACACGTGCGTCTACGCTTTAAAAAAATCGAAACAAAAGCGATGATAATTCATTCTCATGGGGGTTCATGGTTCATGTCTGAATAGGAAAACAAAGTTTGTTAAATTGTTACGTTTATTACACTTCGAACATAAAATGGATCAAGACTAATTGATTCAAGTGAATTAATTCCAAGAAAAACATTGTAGTTCTCTCGCAGCAATGTTGCTGCTGTTACCGCCCAAAAGTTCAAAAATCTTTTCTTGTACATCCATTCTATTGAACAATCTTAATGAATAATAATAATAATAATGGTCGAAACAATCGTTCCACAGCTCATTCATGTACTTGTGAATAGTAAATGTTTGAACATTGAACAATGTGATATCTTGTAAAGCGAATTCACGTCAACCAGCCAACAGTATACATTGTAGTGTATTCATAGTTTTGTTGTTTAATGATCTTGAAATAATACGTTTTCAACATCCATTTATACCAGTTCTTAATTGTAGTCATATGCGCTGACTTTCAATGGTTATACCTGAACACAACGAAATGGGCTTCATCGGCTCGCTTATGTACCATTAAATTAATTTAGCCGATACAAAAAAAAAACATACGTTCAAGGTGAGTATTGAATGTCGTTCACGTGTGTTTTTTTCTCTCTCTTTTTATCTCTTTTGATGTCTTGTGACTTGATTGAACACAATGTATGATTTAATGTTCAATATCAAAACTTATTTACTGCAATCAAATATTTTCACGAATTCTTGCAAAGTTCTACTCAGTTTTTGGATCATTTGAAAATTAAAATCATCATTCAAATCCATTATTTGACGGTTTTCTTGTATTTCCCACCAAATTGAACTAAGTTTCATGTACTGGCCATGATTAGTCAGCAAATCTTTGTGTAGAATCTTTTGAAGATAAAATGATTTATTTGTCATATCTGACATGTTTGCAATGTGAATCACAAATAGTTTATCAAATGGACAAATATATGATATATCGTGAGTTTTCGACGGTTAAAATGAACGAATTTGTAAAGATACGATTGCATTATGAAAATAAAATATTTACGTCACCATTATAACATTCATAATGTATCTGCAATTATCACGGCTTGGATTATAATTACAAACGTGTCTTTTGTGCTTGATGGCATTACGGTTCTTTTTTTCTCATTTGGATGACAATATTACATAATAAATGCATTTTGAAGCTGCAAAGTAATATGAATTAATTACATAAATTAATCAACGAAAAACTGACGATAAAAGGGAAATAAACAAAGGCCATTGTCCAAAATCCCTTTCATTTTTCGTGGAATATGATATTTAAATGAAAATTTAATGAAAATACAAAATGAAAAAGCGCTATGAATAGAAGACCATGTTCCAAACATATTCTGTTATAACATTTTCCATCATCACTGTGACCGCTACAACCACTTAAAAAGCGGCTAGAGTTCAAGGCTACTTTTTTTTCACATGAAACCTACATCAACAAATATTCGAACATCGGATGTTGATGTTCCAACCAAATGCTGAACATTATCGCTGAGCAACGGCAGGATTATAGGATCTAAGACTTCTTTTACATTTAAATACATTTGCTTGGCAAACATTTTAATCTGTATAAAAAGTTGTAAATTAACCGCGAGCTGAAATGTACGTTCTATAGAATTCAATGGATTAAACAGCTGATTCAACCACACTTTTACCATTTATGCTCTCGAGGTTCTTTGTTCGTCTTTTTTTATTCAAGTAATGAATGAAAGAATGCAATGAAAAAAAAAAATTATTTTTGAAAACGTTATTTTGCTTCACTTCTATTGTCATTTTAATTAAATAGAAGTGAAGCAAAATATATTGCAAAAATATCCGAAAACATTTAACGATATGTTTACTTGGAAAATGATTTATTACATTGCTGTCGCTACAAAACGGCGAATAGAGAGTTCTAGCATTCATCGAGTCGATGAGCTTTTGACCTTTTTTCCCACACACATTGTACTTTTGTACTTGAAGCGAACAATGGATAGAATTGCCACAAATGGTTTCGAATAGAAGAGCTTGAAATCTGTACATTTATTTATGTGTTAAAGTATACAAGCATAAATAAAGCTTTTTCCAACTGTTCTCGCTACAAATACACGTTTATGTAACACAATCTACAAACACATCGATACCAAGGGATGGAAAAGTGGTGTAGTATTTTCCATTTTGTTATTGCTTGAGCATAATAAATGAACGGATGTGCCTAGCGTATCCATCTCAAAGCAACGCGCCCACAATTACATTATGTACAAAAAGAAGGAGAAGAGAATGAGCGAACACGAGCCGTTCTGTTCCATCTTGTATTGCCATTCGAAACCACATAAAAAGCCATATTATTTATTTGACCTTGAAATTTCTCTTATTCGTCATCGCACTGTTTCGCAAACGCAATGCTCATATCTCTATTCAGTAGTCATTTTAATCATGTCGAACGAAGAAAAAAAATCAAATACAACAAAAGTGGATGCGTAAAGAGAAGAAAAGACGGGAGAAACACGCACTTGCGTGTGCAGACCCATTTCCTTAGCAAATCAATGTGAACATTTACCATACTCAAGCATAAGCACGTAACAAATATAGTCCGAAATAATACCATAAATAGATTTGTGTGCGTCTTAAATTTTTTTTCTTCATTAATATGACAGAATGTTTCTTTTGATTTTTATGCTGTTTGATTCCAGCTGTTTTTTTTTTGTTGTAGTCATCAATGAGGCACGAATGAAACGAATAATAAAAAATATTCCTAATTTGTTGACTGTTTGATTTTTGGAGGGGTGGGGAGTCAATTTATTTCTGCGAAAAATGACTTTTCCCATTAAATCACCTTTTGAACTTTTCAATGAACAATATCATTATTTATTGCCTTCAACAAATTGATCTATTAAACGTATGGTTGGCTTCAAAATCAACAAACATTAAATATAAATAAATCTCATGCACTATTGCAACAGTGTGAAATCAGACCAAACTTAAGGCAATTGGCGTGAATATACGATTATTTTGTGTGATTGATTGTTTTTTCTCTCTCAAATGAAATCACAAAAATGCAAATCGAATTGTAATTAATGTTAATTTCATGCAAACGAAGAGTACACCACATCGAAGTACATAATGAAAATCATGCGAAAAAAAACCTAATCTAACTTGAATCGTGCACCGTTTGTGGAATTTAAATGAATAAAAATAGATAAAAGAATGCCTCGAATGAGTGTTGTCTCTATCGAACGTATGGATGAACGGTGCACAGTGACACACATACATAGGGAGAATTGAAATAACTTGTAGCATTAAATGTACCAAAATAATGGTGTCTCTGCTATCTTCAGTGGTTTATATAGTTCTCTCGAGTGGGTTTTTATATAAGCATGAAAAAAAATCCGATTGAGCTTCCTGACACAGTGAAACACACAACATCTTCACCACCACCACCACCAGCAACGCCACCACCACGAACATTCACATGTTCACGTTGGGCTTTTTAGCGATTTTCTCATCCCAACGGAAAAAAGCGGCGCACTTTCCAGCGAATGCTTGAAAGCACGCACATATGACAAGCTATCTGTTATGTACAAACGCATACACAGGCACAAACGTACACGAGCTTACAAATAAGCGGCCTAGCGTTGACGTCGTCATCGTTCCCGTGCCGTGCTCAATATGAAAACCGTTCGGGCGCTCGCTTTTTCCAACACCATGTTACGCCATATCGGTCGGTTTATTTACTTTATTTACTTGAATTATTTAAATGGAAACTCCGTAGTCATGTGTATTTGAAATTTGTGGAGAGTTTTGACTTGCGGAGAATAAGAAGACCCCAATGTATTGCTTTTTGTGTAGGTTTTCATTTTGAATCTTACGGCTTGATTCAAATGAGTTGCTCGGTTGCGTTTTGTATTTAAAATATATAATATACATACGCACACACCAATACACTTGCGGATGGACGCTACGAGTTTCGTCCGTGAATCCATGTATATACAACGGCAACAATCACATGGACATGTATCGCATTTTTCTCTCTCGCTCTCTACATACATCACATTATTCACCAATCGACATAGAAAAATTTTCTGTAACACAGTCGTAGTTCGTATCGAGCGAGCGAAGCGATCGTCGACACATTCGAATTATCAGCGCACCAAACGTATTAATGAAATTCCACTAAATTAAATTTAATACACGTACGGAAAAAGTGAAGTAAGAAAAAAATTCAGAAAATATATTTTGAAAGGGAAAAAATATCATCGAATCGATTACACGACGACCGACGACGAAATAAATCATTTCTGCCAACAATTTAACGAATTGGCCATTTCCACGGCAAATGAGAGAGAAAAAAAGTATATAAACAACAACAACAATCTATAAAACCATTTATTCAAATATTCATGTGAAAAATAGATTCGAATTTCGAATTTTTTTTTCATTTGATTCGTTCATCATCGTGTGTGTGTTTTTTTGATTTCGATTTATTGTGCTTCGTATTATTACGTTTGTCTTGAATTGTTGTTCGCTGAAGCAATATTTCAATTTATTAACGCAACCCATCATTGTTCGTTTTTGTGTTCTAACTGAGAAATATCTAAGAAGTTGAGAAACAAAAATAACATTTGTGTCAAAAGAGTCAAAGTTCGTATCAACGAAGAAGAAGGAATTATTGAACAAATATTAATCCATTAATAATATATTGTGGCTGGATTTGGTATTAATATAGAAAATATCATTGAAAAAAATTTAGTGACGTTGGATTTTTTTTTTTTGCGTGACTTCATAACAGCTCTCTCTCTCTCTTTCCCTTATTCACTGCTCGTCTCTCTCTCTCTCTCTTTCGTTTGCGTTAATTCATCATATCATTATAAGCAACGATCGAAAAGTGATAGGAAAATCGAGAATATCAAAATCTCAATGTGCAAATTCGTGACCGGAATATGATTTACGTTAATTAGAATCGATAAAATTAAATCCGATTTCGTAGAATATCATAGTGAACTTTTCTACAGATTTTCCACCGACTATACATTTGGCTGACGAGTGTTTTACATCTAGAGAGTGTGCGAGAAAAAAACGAAAGAAAAATCAACAGTATGGAACATTATTGAATCTATAAACGAGCGTTGTTGGAGCAGTTGTTGCACTGATTAAATATTATCCTCGAGAAAAACTAGTCGAACATTAATCTAGCTGAAGAAAAATAAATTGTCTGAAGTTGTTTCTCGACGATAAAACCAAAAGTGATTTCATAAATACACATATGCTTTTATTTTGGACAAAGACGTCAGAACGAGATCCGAATACATACCGCAATTAACAAATGCTGTACAATTCATATTGAAACACAAACAGATGTTTATTTGCAAACACCAAAGTGGTTGTCAAACAAAAAGTTTAAGGCAAAAATAAATCATCATTTTGACTGTTGTTTCTCATCAGTATGTTTTTTGTTGCGTGAACGAAACACACACACGTATACATTATTAATCTAAAAACTAAACGAATTCAACTGCAAAAAATAAACATAAAACCAAACGAAACAAAAAAAAATAAATCGCAATATATTGAAGGAGTATCAAAATCAACGTACTAGTACACATACCCACATACACGGACGCGTATAACGAAATTCATATAAAAATCTAATTTCTAATTTATTGATATGATCACTGCTAGTGTTAGTGCGGCTATTCTGTGATATTACGTAAACAATCAACGGTATGTGTCTATTATATGAACAATTGAACATTACTCTCACTATTTCTTATCGTAAAACTTCTTTTCAAAGTGTTTATGCTTATTTATTTCAACAAATATAGCGATTATATCATAAAACAGATGACCCGTTTATTGCGGTGCAGGAAACTCTATTTCATAATTCGCAGAGTATCTCTGTACCATTTGTGACTTTTATTTTTTTTTGCCTCTTCTCTAGAATTTGTGCGGAAAAATCGTTTAAGTAATTAGAATTTTCGTGGCAATGAGCGAAAATGGCAGTGCATATGTACTGAATAAATGGCTTTTTATTGATTATCTTTATTTGAGTTCCATAATGGAATTCTTTGGTAGAGAAAAAGAAACAGCGTATGGTTGGTATTCGTTAGAAAATTAAATGCTTAACCGAACAATCATTATCCGACGTCATATGAGAGATTCTTGCGAAGCAACGGGGGAGAAAATCGCAGTTGTTGTTTGCAATGACAATCTCTAAGCCCTAAATCCACGCTCCAAATGAATGACTTAATTGAAAATGTAATCGAATTAAAAAGATCAGGAAATTTTTAACGAGATAAATTTTTATCAGATTTTCGCTAATTTCTTTCACAAAATCGAATCAACTTTGTATATCAAACGTTTTGAGCTTGTGCCTTCGTATCATTGCCCCGAACCAATCTCAACACAGAAAATGTAAACATGCTAAGAAGTTGTTCGTTTGATCTGAATACAGGTCGGAGAGGGAGATTCTAATTATAAAAATTGCTTGATCGATTTTGCTTACATGTGGTCTATCGCAGGAAATGTTTGAGTTAACAACGTTAAAACTGAATGCTCGTGCTTAAGTGTTATCACAAACATGCATGGCAATTTTAATACATGTGATTTGAATTGGAGATTTGATTTGACAAACAAAGATAGTAAAATAATAGATTAGATTCGATGAAAATGTTCATAACACGAATGACGAAGAAAGAAAATAGCTCCGCACCCTATCCCGAATCCAAAACCATATTGATTTCTTCGTATTTATTTTCGTTCGAAAAACATTTCCATTGAAATATGACGAAAGAAAATAGTGGCGGCTCAAAGCGATATAATCGAGGGGTATTATTTTTCCATGTTTAATGTAAAGAAAAAGGGAAAAAATAGCAAGAATGTCGACAAATGACGAAAAAATAAAAATAAAACCTTTTCTTGTCGAATTCGGTTCGATTGTTTTGGCTTCGTCGCGTTCTCGAAAACAAACTACTTCGGTTCACTTTTATGGGATATAACATGTTTTGCGTGTGTTTGCATACTGTACATTTTAGTTCGATGAATGTTTTTTCTTTCCTTTCCATTTGAATAAGTTCGTTCGTAGTGCCAAGCTTATCAAATCGCGCGCACCCGCAACTTTTTCCTATTTAATGACCATACATAGGCGAAATATATTTTTCGCATCCAACGTAATTGTCAACTGACATGAATGTATACATACGATATGATAAATTTGGTTTTGTATTGTTAGACATTCGTTAAAAATGACAAGTGAATAATTAAAAGGAGTGTTGCACAATGTCACCGAAAAAGGCAACATTTTTTTTAAAACATCGGCACGTCAGCAGAAATGGCATTAATTTAAAATTGCTGAAAATAGTACACTTATGTCAAACTGGAAACATTTCATCACGCTGCACAGTGTTGATTGTATGCGTCTTTGATAACGTTTTCAATTGAAGTTGATTCAATTCGGGAATGTTATCTACATTTTTGCGTTGCACTTGTTTCAGGCAAACAACTACAAATGGTTGTCAATTACAAAACCAAAAGACAAAGACACACACGCTCTATGTACAAATGTTGTATCTATTTCAATGAGAAATTCGTTCACGAACTGAATATGTGTGAGCACAGGCAGGGTGGTCGTTTTTGTGCTGCCACCGATTCGATTTCGAAAAGCTGAAATGAAATCCACTGGGAAATTTAGTTGGAAAATGTTTTGCTGAAACACTTATGTACTTCTCAAGTAACCAAGGTCATTTGAAGACAACCATCGCTTTGCATTGTAGCACCCTGTGCCAAGTGGTTAGGCGTTCAAATCGTCAGAAGCCCATCTGTTGTTGAAATGTGTTGAAAATCTTGAACATCAAGAGATTTTCACAGCAATTAGATTTCATGCAAGACGCAAAATAACACAACTCAAATATAATGAGAAAATGAAAAGAAAATGCGAAACAGAATGGCCATATGAAAGAGCCAAAAGTTCGATAAAAATCACGTTACTACATGGTTTTCGTCTTTTGTAAATGGCTAAAAGAAGAAAATTTTCATACCATACGCCAAGTCATATCTGAGCGTGTGCATCTAATTCAGGAATGTATTCCAAATTTTCTTTTTTCTTTTACCCAACAATAAATTCAAATACGTCATGTGCTTTTCTCCACGCTCACACACACACATACACCCATACACAGGCACACGCGCGCATATTACTTGATCCAGCTAAAGCTTTAGCGAGTCTACATTGTACAGATGTTACATAGGCAGTTTTTTTCCACATACCAAGAGAGAATCGTTCAAAATTCAATTCGACTCATCCAGAAGAAGCGCGCATCACTGTTTGTATACAAACGAATCTTTCGCTCTCGCTTTTTCGCATGTTTCTCCGAAAAACGTAATTTAAATCACATGAATAGGCACGAGTAAATTGAGGAGTACTTTTGCTTGTTTCGTATTCACACAAACACATATTCACCTACATATACACAAAGAATCTCTCTCACGCACGCTATGGAATTACATGGATGAACGATGTATAGCACTCTATAATATTAATACTTGTTCTCTATCGATATATGCCTGTGCGTACACTTTGCGCTGTTTGATGTGATTGTGTGTTTTAGATTTTATTTTATGTTTGTTGGCTGGCTCCGTTTGAACACTGTTTTGGTTTCGCATTTACGTTTATTTCGAGTCAGCAAGCACTAGTGCTCGACATATGAGACATTTTGTTTGTGTATGCGTATATATATATATTCATTTTCTCATTTGTATCGCTTATGTCGCTCTCTCTCTTTCTCTCCTTTCTATCTCTCTGTGTGAGTGTGTTTCTATTTGCCGAATGACCTTGACTGTTGTTCTGACGCGCGCGAACATTATTACCGGGTTCTCACTTCGCATTTTGTGTATACATATCTAATTCTGTCGTTCTGTATGTACGCCAGTAAATGAGCAACTCGAATGATTCGGGTTTTTATTCTTCTAATTTTATTTTCTCATTGTAACTTTTCGGATCAATTTTTTTTCTTCTTTTCAAATGTACTTTTTGTTTTCAAGACAAGTTTTATCTCGGCGAGAAAACAACAATTGCAAAAGAATGACAAATCGATGGAAGAAGGTAACATGGATAGGGTTTTTGAAGCATTTTGTATATAAAATATTCAACCAATGGAACTATGTAATGTAAATTGAAGTTTGTGCTTGTGGCACAAATCAAGGTTTCTTTCTTGCACAATTTTTTTTGTTCAGTTCATGCTTCAATTCCTTATCTTTTTGGCTTTTGAATGAATCATCCAATTTTTTCCGAAAAAAATCAAGAATATAAATTACGGTCGAATTTAAACTAACCACCCGTTTCGCTGCAAAGTTTTCACATTGTTCCGTGCATTAGAAAAGTTTCGTTGAATAACTTACGCAGATTTATCTAGTCATTAGACATCGTTGCACGTACAATGCTACACGTAATTACGGTTATTTCATATTAATGATCGACACGTTGTTTTTCCTTTCAACAAAAGCTAAAGAGTCAATCTACATGCAAACCACTTTCATTACGAATATGATAGCGTTTTTTAATTGGCATTGTGCACATATAGGTACTTGCGCTGCTATCATTACAACACATCTCATTATCGTCAAAAGAATAGACTTTGCGGTTGCCCTAAAAACAACATCGAATTGGAAATTCAAATCCAAATCCTCTTTGTTTTTTCTTTCGTACTCGAAAATGTGTTTACAGAAAAAAATGTTCGATAAAAATTCGAATCCACTTAAATTCCGAGAAAATTGTGGATAATCGTCTTTTGTCCATCAAATTCTATTTAATCCTTATTTATTTTTCTTCGTTCGTTTTTTCAATGTATCGTTTAACATTGTGTTGCGTCATTTGGACATAATATATGCCACAAGCCGATTTTTCTACATCAATCATTGTCAATGTGTACTCAATTTCTGTTCAATGTCCTTTCGATCAAAGTTAAAATGTAAAAACAAAAAAAAACTTGATTGTTAGAAGTAAGTTTATACGAACACCCGTTACGATGGTGAGTTATGACGTACTCTGTTGTTATTATAGAGAGCCATAATTGGATGAGTTGTCAGTTGAAAGCTAAGGGCTGATGACTTTAAGTTAACGTGTATCATAATTTTCACAGTTGGAACAATTTTCATGAGAAAAAACATTTACTGCCATTTTTTTAGAGTTTAAATCACACAATTTGATATTGTGACAAAGTCGAAAACAGAAAATGAACGTATAGTCATGCAAATATTTTTGGTGGCAGTCAATCGAATGCCCAGTGAAAATGAAAACAGAGTCAATAAACAAATTAAGAATTAACTTGTCCGTACTGGTTTCTGTATACTACAAAGTGTTTGTTATTTTGATTGAAAGTGACATGCCCACATCACTTTGACATTGAAACAAATTGGTTTGTAGGTTAATACATTCGATAAGCACAACATTCATACACACACACACACTCACACACACTTAAACTACAAAGAGACATTATAACATAGTACATCTGCACGATATTTCAACGACCGCTCATTAAGTTGCCATCAATTTTCCAATCGACGAGAATAAACATAAAACTGTCCGGCGTTTGCGTTTTAGTGATATTAAAAAGCGTACTAAATGACATAAAATCCACGAATTCCACGAGTTCATTCCAATGTGAAACAGGCGAAGAAAATAGTTTCATTTTGTGATGAAAAATGCAAGAAAAATCGATTTCAGTTTGAGCGAAGTCATGCGCCTGTGTGTCTTTTACAATACTTTTATGATGTATGAAAAAACAAAAGATGTGTAACGCTAAAAATGAAAGAAAAATACACCACAATTTAAAAGCGCGTTTTGAAGCACGATTCATCTACGTTGAAATAAAATACCATGTTCTATAACCAAACAAAACAAAATGAAGAAAAAAAAAATATAAAAATAATAACAAAAACAACAAAAATAACAGACACGATACGATTATAAGCATGAAGTCGACAGCGACAATAGAAAACTAAAAGGAACGTGCGAAGGCAATTTGTTGCGTTTGTGACAAACGGAAAATGGGAAAATACGACCAAAATAAAACATGTTTTAATGTACAGAAAAAAACACAATGTTGTTGTTCATAAGGACGCGTGGAAAATTGAGCCATACAATACATTTACAGATGAAAAATTCAATCGAGAAGAAAGCAATTTCCATTAATGTTGGTTTTAAACACGCTCTCACTCACACACACAACGTTAGCAAATCGATAATAAAAATAATAGAAAAGCACTCACAAAAGCGTAGCAAGGATGTGTAATGTATATAATCAAAAAAGTGCTTTTAAATGCATTGCGCACCCACAACCATAAAAGTGGTGCCAAAGCGAACAAAAAAGACGAAGTACTTGGCATATTTTATCTCCTTCCCTAATCTGAGAAAATGGTTTTTAAGTTCAATTTATCATAACAATACATGTATTCTCGCAATCACTACAACAGGAACTGTAATTACAAATCCGAAGCCCTGCGGTTTTATTCAAATATATAGATTCCATGCATGGTAATATGTACACGTGTAATGGTAACTTTGATTTCAAACTATTAAATATTCCAAAGGTGCTAGCTCAATGCTCCACTGACCACCTATAACAATTTGCCTGATTGAAGTCATTGTTGGGGGATTAGACGCTGTTTCTATGAAAACGTTTTTTTTTTCTGTATTCTTTGTCTCATTTCACGAATTACACGCAAAGTGCGTTGAGCTATTCCTTTTATTGTGAAGGTTTTTTTTTCTTATGGATAAAATACCTAGCCCCAGTATGCTCGTGTCGGCTTACAAAAAAACGTGAATAAATATAAAAGAACAAAGCAAACGAAATAGTTGCGTATGTGCGAATTTTTTTACACATGCCTACAAAGTGGCTTGTATTCGAAATGAGCGGTAATTAACCTAACCAGAAATATTCATACTTCCTATACGAATAAAAAAAACCGAAAAATTTACTAATTCGCGCGCTACTAATACACATACGATGACTATGGACATTATTTTCTACAGCGATTTTTTTCGCTAATTATTTTTCAGCCGAAATTGAACGCATAGAGATAAATTCATGTTGATAGATCGACAATATTGCAGCTAAAGCCGATTAAAATGATTTTTTTATTGCGAAATAAATGCCAAATTCTGTGGTTAATTGGAATATTTCCTCATTACATTCATTTGCTTTGGCAGCAATATTGTGATGCATACACACACTACTTGTGACTATTACATTTAATTCAAAATGAAATTGAATTGACGAAAACAGAGATGGAAGAATCACTTCAGTCCAAAAAAAAAAGTGTTTTACCTAAGCCAAACACATATTTACACATACCACAGCGAGTGTGCTTGATTTAAAACGAGACCACAGCACAACGGAAAGAATCGCAAACATCGAAAGCGTCAGAATACAAAATATTAAGTGAACTACGAGATAAAATATGTGTTTATTTTCGTTTTGTTCGTTCAGCGGTACACATCGTCGACGCAGTAAAAAAAAAATAAAATAAAAAATTGAACGGGAGAGAGAGTGAGAGCGAGAAAGAGGTACTATGAACGCGATTGTTGTTACTGTATGGACTTCAATAAAATTTATTTGATTCGTTTTCGTCGCTTGTTACGCCGTCAATTGTCAATTTCAATTTTATAGTGCGAGTATGTGTTCATATGGTTGTTATTATTATTGTTATTATAAATCGGAGTTAAAAGTTCGCATATTCGTATCAAATGTGTACATACAACAAGACACTCTTGTGCGAAGAGCGAAAGCAACACAACGAATCGAAATTAGCAAAGTATAAATAAATTCAGCAGTGAAATATGTGTAAAATGTATTACGTAATTTTGGATTGTGTTTGCAGATTGATGTATAGATTCAAGCCGCACACAAAATGTGCGAGCATTTTGTTTGGTTTTGCTATTGTTTTTTCATCGTCATTTTTTTTTTGCTGTTGTGTATGACCCGGCGATGATTTTGCTCTTTTTTTTTCGTTTCGCCTGTCTCATTCATTCTCATTCGTTCGATACATGATGTACACACGTTCGGTGTTTGCGCATCATACGTTCTACTGTGTGGCTTTCGGCCCTATGTCAATGTGTATAATTTTCGCAGTGCCGACTCGATACTATATTGTTGATTTGCAAAAAATTATTCGTTATTTTCAACTAGCACAAAATAATATATGATAAATTACACTTTATTTTCAGCCTTTTGTTTACTATTTAAATGCTATTGAATTTGGCGATGAAGCGCGTCGTGTGTTTCATCTTTAATGTACACACTGACTGAATGTGGTGGATGCGTCCGTGTGTTTGTGCACACACAGAAGCGTTTAGAGATCATTATTTTTTGGAATTTCTTTTGTTTTATTCGTATCTGATGTATATTAAATTTGGTACATTTCCGATATATGATGATGATGACAAATTTATTCATGCTTCTCGTTTCATCCAATCGAATTCAAAACGTGTACCACACACAAATTATCATTTCAATTGCTTGTGCCACATGGATTCAGGTCGATCGTTTTCTTTTGATTTATTCTCAATAATTACTGAATTTCTTCTTCTTCTTCCAAACAATTTGGCAACGTTTTGATTTTGAAATAAGTGTGATCACTGAATTTATATTGAATTTCCACCGAATTTTAATCATTATTTTTCGCTGATTGACTAAAGTAAATATATCATCAATGTTTATTTTCCTTTGCAATGCATTCGTCATCGATCAATCAACTCGTAACAAGTTTGTGCAAATTATGTTTATGTTTCGTTTGCAAATTTTTATCCGATTTACTACGACAGACTTTTGATCGATAAATTGCAAATATGAGAATACGAAATAAATCAGTCAATCAATCACCAAGACTATTTTCATAGAAAAAAGAGTAACGGTGTGTGTGTGTGTGTGTTGAAGAGAGAGTAAATAAAATCCAATACCAAACGTACTCATTATAATTTAACGCCCCCGTCTGTGCATCGTCAACTATAAATCGGACGATACCTCAGAGAGATACATCGATACTTGACTCCAAAATATAACAAGCACTGAAATCGGAGATTTATGCGCAGCACAGCGATAATGGTGGAAATTCTCGTGATGAATTGTTCAACTTCTGGACACATTTAATTTATGAATCTTATTTTATTAAATTATTTGTGTGAAAGCAATGAAATCGACACACTTGGCGCTATTAATTTAAACGGAACAAGTAAATTCCATTGAATTAATGATCCTATGTGCAATTAGCGTGATAAAGAGAGAAAGAGAGAGAGAGCATTTATGTGGAAAATATTTCTAATGGAGGGATATTATATAAATATTTAATGATTGTAATTGATTCATTTCATTTTGTTTGATTGCTTACTGTGCATGCATATTTGTGAATAGGTTTGGTGTGTGTAGCAACGAAAATAAAATAAATGACACAATGCGAATATATGAATATTTCATCCACCTTTTGAAAATTAAAACAATTCAAATTTGGTGTACGGCATTAGATACAATATGGTATAGCGTGACTCAGTTTTTTCTTTGTTTTGGTGAAATGTAAAATGACAATTGATGAAATGATTTCGAATCCTGTTCAAAATTCTATAAAACATTTTCAATCTCAAATATTTATATAAATGAAATTTCGGCAAAATCATAATTAATGCGAACTGTATTTTGTGTACTTTCAGATGGACTTAGTTGTACCAACCGAATTGGAGGAGTTAATTTCGTGCTCATATTGTCATCAACCGTTCAATGAAACGGACTCACTGCCCAAGTTTCTGTCATGTCGTCATCATTTCTGTTTGAAATGCGTCAACGCGATTGTACAGAAGAGAGGCGAGCTATTCTGTGTACATTGTTGGAAGACAACCGAATCGCCAACTCCTGATATAAAACCAGAAAATTTACCAACCAACACGGCCGTACTGTATTTAACACAAAATCTCAGTATGTTGAACATGAAGCCAAAAGCGCCCGACAAACAATCCGTGTCCCAATCGCAATCCCAACAACAATTGACGCCGCCACCGAATAGTTTACAATCGAATAACATTATCAAAAAAGGTGAAAATTGTCATACACATGCAATGCCGAATTCGTTATGGTGCTTAAAATGCCATACAACGATTTGTCGAGCGTGCGCTGGCGGTGACGAGCATCGCAATCATACGGTCAAATCGCATAACGAAGCCAAAGAAACGATGCGTAGCGAAATTGCCAACGAATTAATGTCAATGCAAAAAACATTGGTCGAGGTACAGCATTTGGTATTAAAACAACGCGATTTCCTATTGAAAATATTAGAGGCGAGCACCTCGTTGAAAACTCAAATCGAAACTGAGCTTATCAATCATATTCCTACACTTGAAATCGCCGAGATGCGTGAAAGTTTGGGCAAAGCAAAGCTATGCATGAGCATGCTGGATCAACAATCACCATCCGATGCATACAAATTGTATTCGACGATGCATTTGGAGAAGCAACGTCTCCAATCAAAATACCAAGAATTGTATTTACAGTGCAAATTGGACGATGTGATACGACAGTATGGATCACTGTTCGATTTTGATTTAATCAAACAAGCATTGGCTGGACTTCAGTCAAACGGCGATTCAATGAATGCATTGGCAAGCAATGGATTGGCTCACAATAATTCAATTTTATTGTTGGCAAACTACTGCATATCGCAGCTTTACTCACGTCACGTGCTAACAAACAAACACGTTCAAATGATGAATAATGGCGGCGCAAGCAACGGAAATTACAGCATATCACCACAACTGTTGAACAATTCATCACAAGAGCACAAAACATTTGCCGAAATAGCCGGCTCACCAAAACCGGTCAGCAATTTTTCGGGTCATTTGCCTGATGCAATTGGATCTCATCCGTCGCCAAACACCCAACAACAATCGTCGCAACAAAATCAAGCGCCGGGCAGTGGTTCTTTGCGACACACACCGTCATCGTATCTCTCGGATATGAATGGCATATCGGTGCCGATGACAATGATTCAACATTTACAACATTCATCACAGCAACAATTGACCGTTGGCTCGAGTCTTGGACAGTCGCCGCAGGCCGCTTCGTTGATCTGTAATCCATCAGTGCAATATCCAATTTATTATTTTAATATTGAGATCAATGGATCGCCGTGCGGACGTATTTTGATTGAAGTGCGTAGTGATGTTGCGCCGAAAATGGCGAAAAATTTTAGTGCGCTCGCTTTGGGCGAACTGGGTTTCGGCTACAAGGGCTGTCAAATATTCCAATGTTGGGAAAATGAAAGTATTATAACTGGTGATTTTGAGTTAAATAATGGTCGTGGCGGACGTTCGGTATTTGAGGAGGCTTATTTCATGCCAGACGATACAAAAATTATGGCAATTCGCGGTTCGGTTGGCATGCGTCGCAGCCAAAAGCGACACGATAACATGGGCTTGGTTGGATCACAGTTTCGCATTATTCTACGTGAGATGCGCGGCTTTACGGGTATTTTTGGATATGTCGTCGAAGGTTTGGAACTGGTCGAAAAGATTAGTCAAACGGGCGATACTGCCGGCAAACCAAAAAGTAATGTGATAATCAGCAGCTGTGGTAAATTTCAGTAGATTTACTAGAATGCATTGAAATGTGTATTTACATGAGAATTAGATTCGAAAAAATCAAGCTCCGAACTCTTGACATCCACATCCATATATATACACACACAAAAATCAACGGTCACGTGTACGTCGCTATAGTGATATATTTAAAATCAAAACAAATTTACGGATTCGATGAAAACAAAAAAAAAAACTGAACATTATTTGAACATTTAACAATCTAATGAGAGTTACATTTAAAACATAAAACCAAACAAAGAATACAAAAAAAAAAAACACAGAGCATACATACAGTTATCGAGCGGTAGGCTAATTAAGTAAATATGATTTATATTTAACAAACACTTTAATCAAAGTAATCATGAATTGATGTTTTACGTTAGATTTATCCCTCTATTTGACGATTTGCAAAGTGCGCGTGATAAAAGCACGTTTAATGTATTAAACTTTACCGGGCTTTAATTCGAAATTTGCGGTGTAAGCGAACGAAATATATTTAGATGAAAAGAGAGATGATTTGCATGTAAATACATACGACGAAATATTCCATAGATGAGAAATCAGAGAATCTGAATTGAGAGACGAACATGCTTGTATTTCGAATGTGAAACGATGTAATAGCTTTGATTGGAAGTTAAAATAAAAACGAATAGAAAACACACTGAATAATAATATAATTATTACGGGAACGAATAATAGCCATCACACACCGACCCTCTAGATCTATTTATTAACCAGACATTTTATGTGATTTAGTTTTTTGTCGTTGTTTCGTAGTTTGATGAACACTTATTTTACGGTCGTAATTTGCGATTTGAGAAATAAATAAATAAATAAATTTAAAAAAAGGCATCACAATTCGTGTACAACAACAATATATTTAGAATATAAAACCAGCTGTTATCTTTCTCTGCATTCTATATGCTAGTTTGAGTTAAGAAATTGTCTTCGTATCAAATGAACGGAAAACACAAATCGTTTTAGTACAAAGGAAAATGATTAATGGCGACCACGCCAATTATGATAATTGAGAGAAAATAGAAAATGAAGCGAAGATCTATCACATGAAGCATTTTCAGTGGAATTAATATTCAAATACAAAATTTTGTCATAAGCATTTGGATACGACGATTCACCAAAACACAAAAACACACACAAAAAGAAATAATAATAATTCACTAATCGTTCCTGGTTTCGTCTTCGATTTTCAACGAACTATAAGTATATATTAAAAAAAATGATGAAAAACAATTCATATTCTATTTAGCATGTAACATGGTGAACTGATTAAATGAATTCAGGTTGATTCCCACATATATATACACACACTGCAATTAGATTTTTGTTTGAAATGCAATGTCAAACTGACACATTCACACTGAGAGAAAGGAGGTTTTTTCGTTCAAAAAAAGAGAGATGCATAATGTACACAAAACGAAATCGATTTACAAATAGCAATTAGCTTTATTACAACAAGAAAAAAAAAGAGTGTGTAAGCACCGAGAATGATGAAGCCGTGTTTAAATACGGATAAAAACATGTAAACAAATATCAATAAAATGTATTCTATTAATTGGATGTTTTCACGTAAATTGCCCTACAAAACAAGGAATAAACAAACAAAAATATATATATAGGTTTAAGACATAACAAATCGAGAATCTAATCGATTGGAATTGGTGACAAATAAAACGAGAGAGAACCAATTCATCAGCGCGCATTCAGGGTGTGGTGTGTGACACAAAACCGAATGAAATATAATTTATAATATCTTGGAATTTAATCAATTTCACTTCGATTCTTCTTGGTCAATCCATAGCTCACCCTTTACTCTCTCTCTCTCTCTCTCTCTCTCTATCCATGTTGGTTTTCTTTTCCCGGCGAAAAAGAGAACATACTGTGCAATGAAAAAAAAACAGAAACCAAAACGAACCAAATTGATCATAAAAAGAACTCTAACCACCTTGCCAATCTTGTGATTTTATATATTTTGTCATATTTATATTTATATTTATTGTGAATCTATCCGAGCGGCAATAAAAAAAAGCACATGATCTAATTTCTCAAAAATGGAATAGGACAGCAAATCACAAAAAATGCAGTCAACTGAGATGAACAAAATTATTGTCGCTTTGTTCGCAACAAAATTCAATCTCAGAGTAAATTATAATCGTGAAAATCGATAAAATGGAGACCATATTGCGAAAGCAATTTTGATGTAGAGCAAAATAGAACAAACGGAAAAAAAGAGTAATGAGATACAATCAGTGTCAGGATAAAACGACAAAAACCACATACATACACACAACAAACTACTTTTAGATGTGAAAGCCAAACACGAAATGCCGTCAACGTTTAATTCGTTTTAATATTATAGTACATGTTAATATATTGCTCTTGTCTGCATATTTATTAGATTGTATTAATCGTCTCTATGTATACCAAAACACCCCAACCATTCACAAAGTGAAACACATAAACAACAACAAAAAAAAAATTAAGAAAAACTAAACTAATGAAAAATAAATAAAATAAATATATAAATGTAAATGTACGTCTGAAAACTCACAGAGAAAAAAAACTATCGCATTAAATGTTCAGTGCGATTCGCACGCACGAAATATAAAATGAATGAATAAATGTACGGACAAAATATGTCCTTCGTCATTACGAGAAAAAAAAAAACACAAAAACCGTACACCAGAGACCTAATTTCTTTTCCATGGCGCTTTATCATTCGTCCATTCATCGCAATTTTTCCCATCACTATTTTGTGTAATAGAGGCACTTCAAGATCCCCATTGTTATCGAATTTATCAGAAATTATGCAATTTTAATAGAATATCTCTGTAGCGATCGATCTCTTTGTCTGCCTTTCAACGTAAAAGAAAAACGTGACAACAGAAATAAAAGCAATTTTACTGTTCATTTTCTCTCTGACGTGAGAACGAATTCATATTAAAATTTATATGTTTCTTATGCTTTGGGTTCATATATATATTTCTTTTTCTATCTTTCTTCAAATTCAAAGTAATCTTTCGCTTTGTAATAAATCATTATGTATGGAACGCTTTACCGGATTAAGCACGTTGTTATTTGAATGGAAACGCTTGAGCTAGTACAAAATGGACAAACGTTTTAATCGGATCAAAATACAAAACGAATCGAATCGATATTCTTCCAATTTCCGAGAGAAAAAAAAATCGAATTATTAATTTAAATCGCTTTCGAAACAAGAATTCATTTCAATCGAATGCACACCAGACGGCAAGCATCATATCTCATCTCGCTGCCTGTGATCTCAAGAATCAATAGAAAATTTGATAACGATAAAAACTCGCGTCGATTAGTTTAGTATTCATTCTAAATGTTGTTCAAATAAACAAATTCTTTGAAAATTCATACAGGGTGACATAGAGTACAGACACATTTAAACGCAACATCATATAATATATGAGACTTGAAAATAGACCTAATTCTGGACAAAAAAAACACACACACACATCTTCTTGCGATTCAATCCCCACACAAATTACTGTGGTCCGATCACCTAAGGTACGAAAAATCACGCGAACATCGTTTTTGTTTTTCAATCTTCATTCATGTGCGACTGTTTACAATTCATTTCATTTTGGCAATAACACATTTTCGTCAATTATTTCGCGCACGAATTACGTGTGAGCCGAGTCATAGTTTGTCACCGGTGACGGTGAAGGTGACACAAACACGCAAACACATCTACACTTCACATCTTTGATACAATAGCAAGCATTGTGTTTCTACTTCAGCACACATCAAAATAAATAAATCAATACTTTACATGAGCCCATCACATCTGATGAGAACGGCAGACCATTTTTCTATCTAGATAGATAGTATCTATACAAATGATATGCTTATTGTGCGGTTACATAATTTTGTCAGTTTATTCAATTGCTTCAGCCGATAATCATCTGTTCGCTAATTAAAGAAAGAAATTAATACATGTCACATAGCTTTACAGCGACAAATTCGGACATACAAAACGTCTTACATATAGAAATTGCTTATCGTGTTTTATGCCACAGTTTCAATTACGATCAAATCGGATGTACTGTATCACACAGGCATTTCCTCAGTTCGTTTTGGATTGAATGTTATAATTTTTTTATATAAGATTGAAAATGAATTGAAATAGAAACATGTCAAAGGGTTTTTGTTTCGTGATGATTGTACATTGTGACATTGTAAATAGCTCCCCCTCTATTTTCTCCCCCGGTGCAACCAAAAAGCAATGACATTTTCTATGGTGGTAGTTTTACATTGCGGCTTCTGAGGCCACATTGCACAATTTTTATGAAAAAAAATTAAGAAAAACTAAACAAAATTGGAAAGATCCGTCTGAAACGACAATATTGAAAGAGAGCCAAAAAAAAAATTACGATTCAGTTAGCATCACCAGCATCGGTGATGATCTGAAATATTCGATGCAATTTATTTTAAAAGAACATAAAATTTGGCTTCTTACTTCATTAATTGTACTCGCCATATTCTATTTAGATGTATATGCATTCAATCAGAAAATATAATTAATTTAAAATCAATGTTCAATGGGTTTGTTTGTATTACATTTTTCTTTTTGAAAACACCAGAAATAAATGTATAACCGCTTATCACCACCAGTCAAGATTTGAATCTGCAATCGTTTCGCTCGAAACACGAAACAACAAAATAAATATATATAAATAGCTATAGAATTGTGAACAACCGACAAAACAAATACGCCATTGTACCTGTTTAACAAAAATGAGACAAACAAACAACACATACATAATTGCATGTAAATTCACGTAATAATTAAAGCAGAAAAAATAAATAAACAAAACTCAAGTGAGTAACAGTTCGTTATGAAGTATACATTGAGAAAATACACTTTGAACTATCTACATTTACGCTGAGAAATATAAGTATTAGTTTAAGATAGAATGGAGATGACTAAAAAAATCTAAACTCGTGCAAATCAACTTCTAAAATTGGATGATGTATGTTTTGAGTTTGGAAAATGGAGAAAATTGAGAATAGACAAATGGAGATATTGATTTATTAATCAAGGGGGAGCACATTAAATAACACGAAACAAATTTCATTTCCATGTATTTCACAATTGAATTTTCTTTCTTTCGATTCTCGACAGATTATTCAATTCGGATATATAACAAGCATAGACAATTCTCACTTTATTTGTATTTCTTTCTGAATGAAAAGTGACAAGATATTTATTTTTGGAGTTGTACGAAAGTAATGATCCAAATATAAGGTCGATTTGTTCCGTCAACAAAGTATGTGTCTTGTTGTTTTCCGAAAAAGACATATGAATAAACCAAGTCTTAAGTCAGAATCGATGTTTTATAAAATTTAAATGTGAATTTGCACAATGAAATGGGTAAACGTCGTTATTCAGACGACTAAGAAGTCAACAATTTGCACACATAGAAAATGCAAAAATTGGCTTATAATATGAAAAATCTGTAACGGTTTTATTTTTGTAGACCACTTGAATAATTAGTGAATGGATTCCAAGTGACGTGAATTTGATTGATATTTTGTGTGAATATTCTCGTGCGCTAAATATGTAAACAAAAATAGAATCCGGCTGAATAAATAATATATGTGTTGATGATGCGGTGCTGGAAAATTTGATTGAAATAAAATATGTATCAAATCGTATGAAAAACAAATAAATAAAAATAATAAATAAATAAAATCGTTTAATGGCAACTGGAAAATGTTAAATAGCTCAGGGAATGCTTTAAGAAATACAAACAAAAAAACTACACTATTTCGAGAAGTTTGAGGTGATAGTTTAATCGCGTGAATTATTTGAATAATTTGATTGTTGAAAACCAGCATTAAAAAAACGGCAACAAGTTGATGACATATTTTAGATGCATTGTAAAAATCCAACGGAAAATGGATAACAAAAGCAAATAACATACAAAAAAAGCGCTTTAATCGTTTTTCTTCTGTGAAATATTTTGATGTGTATAACAAAAAAAAAACACAAAATATATACATAAGCGATAAGAGAAGTAAATGAAGATTGAAAGTATAGAAATAAATCAGTAACCAAACGATTATTTATGAGCTTTATGAAAAATTCAAAGGAGAGCTATTCAAGTATATTGATAAAAAAGTTCACATACACACACATGCACACAATTATTCTGTGGATAGTACAAAACCGAAAGAAACATCAATGAATTTATGTAAATTATAAATTTTAAGTAAAACCGGCGCATATTTCCTGTGTATCGCGAACCAAATAACAATTGACATAAGATGCTGAACAAAGAAATTAAATGCTTAAATACAAAATCGATGCAAACAAATCGAGAAAATCGAAGTTATTAATGCGATAAGAGTTCAATATTTGCATGAACATCGAATATGCAAAGCAAATTTATTCCCATCCAAAGATAAAATCTTATCTAATTCAGCATCAATAACAGAATGAAGAAAACAATTATTTGTATTCAACAAAGAAACATGCAAATACTGTGGAGAAAATGCCGTTTTGAGTTGTCAATGTGACACAATGTATTCAGTTGAGAAACAAAATTATGCAGCATTTTGCAATTTATCGGTAAATATACAGTTTTTTCGATGCGGTTTTCTAGCGCCAAATTTGGTTCAAAATGTGAATGAGCTATCAATGCCATATCACGCCCCATATACAAAAAAAAAAAACAACGTACTGCATTGAATTGTAAATAAATCGTGTAGCTGAAATAATACATCTTGAATCGTATCGATGTAAAAAAAAAGTATCCGAAAAAATGGCAAAATGTGGAAAGGGCAAGCTATTCAACAGCTTAAAACTTCAATGTAATAAATTGGATTCAGTGAACGGCATACACAGACGCGTCAATGCGAAAAAAATAGTTTTAAGTGACAAAAGAAACATTTTGAACTATCTTGACAAATCAATACAATCTCCACACTAACTTTTTCTCTTCGTCTTCTGTCTCGTTATTGTAGAAATATGTTATTCGTAGCCGATGAAAAATATGTTTTTATTTCCTTAGTAACTAATTTGCAACATTTATATTTTACGAGAAAAAAAATCGCTTGCATGTGGCTTTTGTGGCGGAATTAATTTAGTATTGAATGTAAATCATTGAATAAAACTTAGATTGGATCTAATTGAATTTTTTTTTCATCAAAATAATTTTCGATTAAATAATAATTTATGCGATAAAATGTATTCAAAAAGAAAAATCATCGAATCCACAATAGGAAACACACCAAATCTTTGCTCTACTGATTAAAAATTTCCTATTTGCAATTTCACGCTGAACGGAAATTAAAAAGAGGGATATAATTTTTTTTTTTAAAGTAACCATATTCCGATATTCATTCGAAAATTTCATAAGTTTTTCGTGAGAAATTATAACCATTATATTTGTAATCTTTATTGCTAGTAAACTATTCGTTGCTCGATAAAACACATCATATATTTGATTATATATAAATCGGAAAGAAAAAAAATCGATTTTCTTTATAAATTGTTAGCGCTTTCGTTCCTACTACAAATCTATCGATTTTTCGCTTTTTTCATAAATACATTTATAAGAATTGTATCAATATCTATTTTATTGAAACGATCCGTTTTATTTGTTTCATAAATGACCGGAAAAAAATTACTTCGAGAGAAAATCTCAGAAAAAAGCAAATGAGTTTTTGTTGACGAAAAAAAATGGTCAGGTATTTACGAATTCAACACGTATTTTTTTCACTCGTTCGATTAAAAACTTGGCGAAATTCTACTAAAATAAAAAAAATATTAATAAATCGATACGATTAAAAATTTAATATACATATATATCTATGTTTCTTCAATATTAATAATTCTATTTTGAAAAAAAATGCATAATTTTCATTATATTAAAATAATCGTGAAAATGAACGGCAATGTGATTGCATCGCAAATATTTAATTTGGCAATTTTGAGAAGCGACGAAGAAGAAAGAAATGAAACATTACAATCGTTGTAAAACGTTAAATTACAATATTCTGATATATTTGTGTAAACTGCGTGTTTAAATGTGTATTCTGTCTATTTTATTGTGTAAATTTATGAAGCAAAAAATATATATATTATAGACATTCCTTTTTGTCGTTGTTTCAAATCAATAAAATTCAAAAATAAAATTTAAAAAATACATCATATTACTTTTTAGTTTTCGTTTCGTTTGAATTTTTTCAATTAACTTTTACGTTATTTTAATTTGTTTTTATTTTCTCGTTCAAAACTTTCAAATGGCAAGAAAAAGAAAAATAGCATGCACAATGAACTCTTCCAAATAAAGAAACAAAATATAATGTGAATAACTATCGGGTCGCAAAAGAGCCGTTTTTGTGAACAATGATTTTTGAAATAGGACAATCGAAAACAAAAAATAAATGAAATTTTATGGGTACCAAACAAGAAACACTTTTACGCTCTAGAGATCACATAGCCAAAAAGAGAACAAAACTAACATTTACTAGAAAACAAATGTAAATAACAATTGTAATAGACAGTGTAATAGATGATGAAAACGAATCGCTGTTGCGAGCATTTTTATCGAAATTGTGATCAAGCTTTAAAACGATTTGTGCAAATACGGTTTTTCCCGATTTCGGTTTATGTAGTTTATTATTTGAATTTTTGATTTAAATTTTTTCAAACGAAAAATATCTTTATCTCCTTCATACTTCTATAATAATAATAATAATAATGATGACAATTGAGTTATTACATATGAATTACATCACACAACAAAAAATGTAGCAAATTGATAAAATGAAACAAAATAAATATCTACTAACAGTAAATTATGCGAGTAAATAATAAAAATATACCTTGAAGAAAAGAAAATTACCTATATATGTCGTAAATGTAGAAATTAAGAGAATATTTATGTAAATGTTAAATTATATTTTAATCGAGGAAAAAGTGTAAAAAAAATGAACAAATTGTGTAGTTGAAAATGCAGTCCCCAGTTCTTTGCAACCGAAAAACAAAGGCGACATGAATTTAAACTCAAGTGACTAGAATTGTGAAGTTAGATTTTATCGAAGATATCAGCGTCCTATTAAAGATTTAGCCGAATGTAATAGCCAAACATAACGTTCACACTCTTATGTTGATCTCAACAAAGTTAATAGTTGAAAATGAATTGTTATTTTAATCTAACGCCGCAGTCATTTCCAACGGAGTAAAAAAACCGAAAGAAAAACTTAAAATGAACATTTTCGTGTTATCATTTTATTCGATTGATCATAAAAATTTACGACTTTTTTTTTTGTTATTCATACGCAAAATGCTGTATTCTTTTTCTCGGAACAAATATCGAATGAACGTGAATTTGTGATATCATATGAAGAATTCTATTTAATTTTCAATGCTGCTATCATTTCAGTTCGAATTGAAATTCAAATTCTCCTTGAGAAAACAATATGAAAAATGAAATTTATATTAGCAAATTTATCTTATTATAATTGACGAAAAAGAAAACGAAATGGCGAACACGATTTCGAAGACGCGAGCGATGACGACGGCAACGACAATGAGCCACGAAACACGAAACGATTGAATTACACAAAAAAAAGTTAAAAAAAAAATTATATAAATATATGTATAACAGTTTTAACCATTTTAAAACATTTTCAGTGAACCAAACTATTTAGTTGAATTAGAAAATCGCACGAGTGACAATGAATGACAAATATGAAGAATGAACGACACAGAAACACATGGTATTAGCTTTGATTTGATTAAATCATGTACATACTATTTGAAGTAGGACATTTGGTAATAAACATTTCATTCATTCTGCAATAACTGAACCATAGAGAGAAATAAACACTTTCGAACAAACATACAAACAAGCAGGCACACAAACACACAAACAAATACCACATGGAATAATAGAAAATCGTAACAGTAACTAATTTGTAAATTGACATTGAATTGAAACAAAGATGAAATGCGCCAAAAAATTCTATATCTATCTTCAATTGTGTACGGGGCTAAAAATGATAGAAAAAAACTTTGACAACACAACTATAGAAATAAAGATGTAAACGTATTCAATAAATGAAGCAAAAAAAAACTTGATGGTGTTTTACTTGTAATTTCTAGTCGAATCTTGGGATGTATGCACGTGATGAATAAAACTAGGTGAGTAATGCTAAAGTGAAAAATTTGACTCACCTTATAATAAACATCGGGAACGTATTGTTTATCGCTCGATTCACGTATGTAACCCAATTCGGGTGCGTCTTTTGTTGGAACTAAACAATTATCGCGAACCAATGCCATGCATTGACCAGACACTGCATAACCTTCCATATGAACCTGCTTCGATGAATCTCCTGAATCGCACAAAAAAAAAAATATTTATTTTATATCCAACTCGACCGTCATATAAATACGAATCAACTAACCTGTTACACACACGGTAACGAATTTTGAGCCAAATGAACCATTTGAGGAATATTTACATACGTTCGGATGTTGATTTTGTAATTGCCCTGCCATTATACACTCTTGAGCAGTTAGAAAATGTGTCTCAATACCCCGGATATGTTTGACAGTCCCCAGAGCAGCATTATCGCTGATCAAATCGGTGAAAATCCAACCGACTTTGCGAAGTCCCAGCTTTGTTGCCAGTTCGTCAATCTCTTCGGCTCGTTCGTCCGGCAATAGTTTAATTGAGTTCCGTGTACTGTCTTGTGGTGGCTCATAAATAGCAGCAACACGAGCACGAATGCCAAGCGGAACGTCATTGTTTACTTCATAGCTACCGTAAAGAAAGCCCATACGTTGATGTCCAGTTGTTCGCCAATAGTTCAGAAAACGTTCAACCAGCGCAGTATTCTCAAACATAACATTATCCACGTGCCGATAGATTTGGCGATTCAACGTTATAGCCGATGGTTGGCATTTTGAACAAATACCCTTCGGCCATGGCGGATGATCACGGCAACCACTTTTGATGCTACACACCTATTACATTTTCACATAAATTCATTTTAGTATATTAGTTATTATAGATAAATGCTGATTATTTGGCAACTTACCAAATCTTCAAGCGCCACGAATTTACCACGATCGACGCCCGACGTCAATTTTCGAATATACGAATGAAAAGACAAATGTTTTATTTTTTGCTCCTTTAGAAACTCTTCATCCCATGGTTCTAGCGGTGAGCAATGAACACAACATCCATTTGAATTGTGACGACACAGTTTTGGATCACGTTTGCGTTGCAAACGGCCATCAGTTTTTGCCAATATTGTATCAACTTCATCTTCTTGCACTTCGGTTTTGCTTGGCGGCGTCGATTTAGATGGTTTGAATGAAGACGCAAACGATGAAATTGAACTGCTTGAGCTGCTTGTGCTGGGCTGTGGCCCAAATGCCTCCACCACCTTTTTGTACAAATGACACAGAAAATTAACACAAATCTTCAATCTGAAAATAAACATATCCACTTACCGATGATGTACCAGCCTCGATAGTTTTTATGTAAACCATATCGCCATGCTTAAGTTTGTAATCATCAAGGGTCTGTGATCGGCTCGATGCGAGTTCATTTTTATAATTTCGTTCGCCATACACGGCAAAATTATAAGAATCCATATCAAATGCGTCACGAATTGAATCGTACAGCTCTCGAATCGTTGCAGATGGAAGGATTTCAATACGTTTCGTTCCTTCCGAGCTTTGAACGCGAAGTATCTGCGTAGTAAACAAATAAAATCAGAAAAAATCAAATAATATCGAAAATTGTATTCAGACAAAAACCCATTGTTTGAAGTAAACCCAAAAACGATGCCGGCAAAATGAATACAATAGATTTGGCGGCTTATGGAAAAGTGCGTCCAATTTCAATATTGACATTTTGTTGATGGTATTATATTAGAACTGAATCTATTGTCAACAAATGATTGGTGACCAGTTGCATGAATGATCGCAAAGCAACTGAAAATCAATTTGCACCAAATTACAGGCCATCGATTTTGAGTTCGGCTACTGACGGAGTAACTGATTTGACGCGTCAATTTTTACAATAAGATGCGCAATACATTTCTAGCATTTGAAAATAAAATATGAATGAATCGCTGATTTTGAAAACATAATAGACAATAGGAAGTATATATGTGATGAGATGCACTCAAAAACATTTAGGGTTATGTTTACATAACAAAACTATCCAATACGAAGCAATAAACGAACAATATTTCGTTTGTTTCTTCTTGAAACACAAAACGATATAAATAAATCACGAGCATTTCACAGCTTCATGCAAACATTTATCAAAATTGTATCAGTTGCATTGGATTATTCGGCGAAAGATCTTCGACATTCAATCAAATCAAGAACAATGACAAATCAAAAAATGTATCGCACACACAAAGAAACGATCGACGCTAAACAATCTCCTCGCAATATTCGTTTGTAATGGGCATTTTGTCAATTTTGCAGGTTCTTTGGGAATTATTGCGTATTCAAAACTATTTTCACAATAAATTTACTCACGATTTGTTTATTTTTAGACATTTTTAAGTAATAATTGGGAAGAAAAACACTGCAAAAGCGGCTTTCAATTCACACACAATTCCAATTCCGTGCACTTTGATTTCAGAAAATCATTTATCGTAGACACCTTAGTGACGAAACATTTGTTTTCAACGTTTCGCTGTGGAAACTTTGGTTTGATCACCAGTTATTCAGACGCACAAGTCTAATCGTCTAATGTAATTTCGTTTTCTTTTTAAGCTGAACTTTTTGGAAATTTACTTGCATTTGATTGGTATACGCGTTCCGTACATGTATATGTCACATCATTACGGCAAACAAAAGTCAAACAAGTTGTCATCACACAGCAATGCGGTGAGTTGCGGTGAGTTGCGTTGGTGTGGTGAATACAAATGGCGGCCGCAAGAGATTTGAATTTGTGGTGAATTTATGCTCGGTTCATACGTTCGATGGTGATTTGATGTATTTTTTGAATTGAAACGAGATGGTTTTCATTTATCATTTTCGATTTAAAAGAAATTACGGAATTTACTTACATATTTTAATAAAATATACAAGCACCAAGTTTGTCCCACAACTTACCATTAACTCTTCAATACAAGACATAAACAATGAAAAAACAGACTCATTAAGTCAATGAAAACACATAATTAATATTTTTTATTACTCGATTCGTGCCTAACATTTCAATTAATTTTGAAATACAATTTCGGCTTCATTTCTCCAAAAGAATGTCAATTTTTGTTGAAATTTATTGGTACTAAATTATTGGTGCCATTTTTTACTACCAGTTTAGTCACCTAAAATACGTTCACGAGTGGCATTTGCATTAACTGTTTGTATTTGTTAGAAAAATATCGCGCCTCCTGTTTTGTATTTTAGAAAGAAAATACTAATTGGGTGCAACAAAAATACGTTAAAATTAACGCAAAATAAATATATTCATATACTACTATTCTTTGAATTACTATTTGAATTCAACGTATTATTAATTTAGTTAAAATTGAATTGTTTTAAACTAATTAGACTTAAAAAAAAAATTATAAATTTAGTGAGCAAATGTGTATGCATTTTCGTGTTGCACTATCTACCTTATTGAGCCACCTTTAAAAATATAATTTTATAAAAAATGTACCCAGATGGAAATGATTCTGTGACCAGCTTTGCTTACAGTAGGCCAAAACTAAATTTTAGTCATTTTCGCACGTTTCAATTGCGATCACGAAGTGTCAGTTTCAAAACTAAATTCTTTTCCAAAAGCTGAAATTGAAAAAAACGAGAATATCTAAAGCAGCATTCAATTCTTTCCTTCAATGATATAGTCAGTTCGATGGAAACGTTTCTCCTACATTTCGAGGCGGAACTTATACATTTTCTATTCGATGTGTGCAGTACATCAATAGCAATAATCTAAAATAGCATTTTTTTATTGCAACAACAGTTAACATCGATTTAAAAACTTGGTTTTCTCGCTATAAACTAATTGGTTTCTTTTTGTTAGAATATTCAAAATCAACAAAGTGATTTTCAATTAAAGCTTTGCTTTGTACACAAACGTTACATATTTTTTAAATTTTTGTTTTATTCTTGTCGTTTTGAAAATTGATTGCACTTTTGAAAATCATATTTTCATTCTATCTATTGGTATATCCATATCACTCACAAACCATGTTGATTTCAACTTTGAATTTTAATTGATACTTGCACTTAATTGAATTATGAATATCTTTGATTGGTTTGTCGTAATTCAACTACAAATTTGTGTATATGTAATAATATGATAAATACAATAAAATTGTTTCACACAATTTCAAAACTATGTTGAAGTAGATATTAAGTTACTGCGTTTTGACGCACAGTTTATTGTCCATTGTATCCTGAATGGCATTTTGTTTGTTCTTTTGTTGGATTTTCTTATGCTAATTTAAGTGTAACATTTTAAGATGTTCGTTTCAATGATGTTGAAGCAAACGTTTTTCTTGCTAAAAAAAAAATTACTTTTTCTTTGTCTGAATAAATATGCATTACAGCCCGTAACAATGCCAATTCGTATTGATAATGACTCAAAATGACAAACAAATTCAATGCGACTCAAATCAATTGGGAAATGAGAGAGAAAAAAAAAACTTTTCCGTTATCTCATACGCTTCCGGTAGAAATCTTATTTATTTCTCTGTTGTGGTTTGTATTTTAAATAGGCCAAACGAAATCCCTATAATCATGAAAATGTTCGACTGATTTTGCAACTGTCAAAGGAGATGCAAATTATGCTTACAAAACAAATGAATTTGCATATTAAAATGAGCGAATGGATGATGATGTTGATGATTTTCTATACATGTGCGGGGCGGTGCGGAGTATTCCTCGGAGTCAATCCTCCTAATCATGTTTATATGATGATACATGCGTGCGGATGAACGCGATGTCTGCCATTCTGGTGTCCCGGACAACACTGATGTGACTTATTGTTTGCGAAACTTTGGCTATTTGACATTTTGCTGCTGCTGGCCGAGTCGGCGCTTTTTTGTGAACTCCTAAAAAAAACACAATACCATTCGTGTCATAAATTTATTTATTGACATTGAAATTTATAAAAAAAAAATTCTATTTACTTATTCGTTAGACAAATGTGTCCGTCTGATTTGGAGCTAGACACCGAGTTTGATGAAGGTTGATGGTGCGTTCCAAAGTATGGGCACATACCACCAGATATGTCATTCACTAAAATATCGTCCATCATTTTATCCATTTCCTCGAATGCTCGCAGATTTTTTGAATTCATCGGACATTTTCGACTGATTTGACTAGAATTGATTGACTCGGTTAAATTATTTATATCCAATTTTTGAGTGTCTCTGTAAATTTTCCACAAATATAGAAATATTTTACTCATGAGTGCACGTACACAACGAAATCAAATTATGATATGAATTTTAATTGGTACTTACTTATTTAGGGATTCTTTTGAGCGTTGATTGACAACGGCCAATACCTGATTCGATTGTTTGGTCAAGTTGTGCATAATCGGCGGTACCATTGATGACGACGATGGCCGACTATAATCAACTAACTCTCTTTCGCTCAGACGCATTTGTCGCAATGAATTTGTTGGACTTTTCATTTGGGCTGGTGCTGTTGACGGTGGCGGTGGTAACGATGGTTTACCCGAACTTGAACTCATCGCACGTGGAATGCGTCTTGGACTGAATGCTGGCGTTGACAGGCTTGATTGTAAATTACAGGCCGATTCAACTTTTCGATTATTTGTTAAATCTTCGAAAAACTCTTCGGTATCATTGATTAATGATCCGAATAATTCGCTTGGGCTATTCATAAATACGTGGCCAGTTGAGTTTGATCGACTATCACGGCCACGCGGTGCACTGTAAAGTGTCTTTACTGGTGAACTTGACATGCTATGCATAGCAACGTCTTCAAACATAACGGGTGAATAAATGCGTCGATCGTCCGTTGGCGGAGGACTCACCGGATTTCTTGGTGCGTAACCAAATACGGAATTACTTCGACGTCGATCACGTATTGAATCACGACGTAATGTAGTCATAACAGCCGACGATTGCATTGGAGTATTGGTCTGTGGTATAATGTGTCCCAATTTTTGGCGATTTTCCCTCTCTTCTAACCAATAAGTTTTCATAACACCTTTTCCTTTTACCTCAATTTCACCACGTTCTTTTACCCGATAATTTGGGCCGAGTAAATCTCGGGTCGATTGTGATATGTGCACTTTCATTGCGGCAGATGTGGATTCCATTCGGGATGCCGTATTCACCGAATCACCAAACAGACAATATCGAGGCATTTTAAGACCTAATTTATGAATTAAAATTAAATTTTATTCGATAATTACGCACAATTAATAATTAAATAGCATACCAACAATTCCAGCGACTACAGCTCCTGAATGCACACCCACTCGAATTCGTAAATGTGTTCCCGAACTTGGATCTTGCAGATCAGTGATTGCTTCCACCATATCTAAGATAATAAAGGGATACAATGACAGAACGGTGACTTTGGTGCTGTCATAGTGTACTTACCTAAGGCCATATCGCAGACCTGAATGCATGAAAAAAGAATTAATTTAGTAATTCAAAATATTGCCTTAGAAAAGTGTAAGAAATCATGTGCAGTGGTATTAAATTGATGAATTGATTTGTACAGACCTTTTCAGCATGATTGAAATCCTTTTCGGGTGCCCCGGACACAACCTTTAAAAACGAATGTTTGCAATGAGAAACCATGCACATTTTATTAACAAGATTTTATTAATTTTACCATGTAAGCATCTCCTATAGTCTCCACCTATTAGAGAATTATAAAAGAACAACCATTTCAATGTTAAATGTGATTGGATTAACTATGAATAACAGAAACAGCAACTCATACTCACCTTATACACATTATTGCGTTCCGTAAGCGTGTCAAATATGCTGTACATTCCATTTAACCTGTTATTAAGTATAGAGATCAGAATTAAAATACAAAATTAAATAAAATATTGAAAAAAACCGACATTGATACCACTTCCATTGGGGTGATTCGACTACAAATTTCCGTAAAAGTGACAACGTCGCTAAATAAAATCGATACGCTATCGAACATCTGGAAAATAAGAAATTAAAATTCATTAAAATTGATTTTGAAAACGTGTTGTCCATTTTGAATAAATAATAATATCAAAAAGCTATGCTGTGCGATTTCATTCGAGTGAATTCTCGTTCGAAAATTATAATATCTACCTCACAGGTGTCAATGGGATTTTCTCCACGCCGTAAACGATCCGCCACTTGTTTCGGTATCATTTGATATAATAATTCATCTGTCCGTCGCATTTCTTCATCTAATTTACGCATTGATTCCTCCAATTTTTTTGATTTCTGTTGTTCTTGGTCCAAAGCCAATTTCAGTTCAACTGATTGTTGTGTACCTGCCTATTAGAGAGTTAAAAGAACAACAATTCCAATGTTAAATATGATTGGATTAAGAATGAATGAACAGCAACAGCAACGCATACTCACCAGCATCAAATCACGACTGAAATCGTGCATCGATAAATCATTTATGTATAGCCCTGTTTTATTTTATAAAAAATGAATATAAATAAATGGTTCAAAAACCTTTTCAATCAAGTGTTATATCTCTACCTGTACTTATTAGTGACGTAATGTCTGAATTAACGGGGGTGCCTAGAAACATAATCATTCTCCAATTTTCCATGTAAATCATTTGACCTGAAAATGAAATAATGAACTTAGCGGAAATTCGTTTTTATTTTCTCTCAGTTCCATCTTCTATGCGATGTGCACAAAAAATATTCATTTTTCTACTTAAATGTGTTAATACCTTTCAAACGTAGGTTTCGATGTTCATCTCCTTCGATGTCGCCACCCAAAATATCCTTATTATGTGTTTCCAAGCGATCTGGCACCGGTTCTACCGTGACCAATTCGAATATATTATTGGTTCGATTCAAAATCTGCATGTACACGTGCAAATTGGATCAATTGTAGCGAGAGAAAAAAGCAATTTAAGTTAATCGTTCGATCTGTTTTGGAATGCTAACACTTCGCTTACCGTTTGGAATTTGAATGCTATCAGCGGCCGCACCAAGTCAAAACACGATGTAATTTTTTTCCCAACCAACTCCGGTAGAATTACTAGCAAAGAGTTTCCAATACTTCTTACAACCATATCCGATCTATATATATTCCAATGGGGAGCAAAAATCAACACAAATAAAAAAAACAAGTTGAAGAGAATGAGATTATTTTTCTTTTTTTACAGACTCACTCAATTATAGAGTTTGCAATGAAAAATAAAACCGATAAATGTATTGCTCACCCGAACACAACACAAAATGGAAATATTTCGAAAAGAACTGATGCACTAATTGGCAAGTGTTTTTCCTCGCGAGTCATTGCTAGCGATGCTAAGGTGAATGCACGATTATCAAAGGTCAATTGAAATGTAACGTGCACTGTATCGAACAGGATTTCTTCTCGTATTAATTCGATATGCATTTCTTTGTGATAAAAGTGTCGGGCCACCTAGAATTGAATGGTAGTTTTCTCGTAACTCAGACAATAGCATTGTTTATATTCATAATCGGTTTTTGCCATCAGCATGGTTGAAAAAAATGGCGTACAAATGCTTACCTCACGTATTTGACCCATTGTATAGTAGACAAAACCGCGACGTTTTGAGCGGTAATGCAATGTGAGTCCCTGTTTTGTTTCGTTTTCACATATAAAGCTTGGTGCTTTCATGCGAGGATAGGAAAATTTCAAATATTCATGCAAATTATCCAAACCATTTAAAAAATCACGCATATGACGACCCAACACAGACAGAACACGGTCATAACCATATTGACCGACGAAACTAACGAAACACACTCCCATTTGATCCATGAACTCCTTTTCTGGTACATTCAAAATCTAATTTTTCGATAAACAGAATGATGAAAAGAAATATGATTAAAATCAAATATCCAAGCATGAACAATGCCAATGGTGATTGCACTCACTTGTTGCGCTTTTTTCGCCAATTTATTGAGTAAATTTTCCGGATAAACTTGATGTACGCTGAATGACGGTGCATCGATGCCGGCCTGTTGAAAATTCAAAACTCTAGACATACTTGATTGGTTTAAATAAAATAAAACTACTCACACTACGACGAATTTCATCCCATTTATCTTCTCCATAATTGATTTTGATGTACTCGGCCAAATTTTCCAGCAGCAAACCGTACATTATTTGATATTAATCGACGTTAAAAGAAAATTATTGATTTGCCAATGATTTTTATGCTTGTACGTCCAATTTTCAAGCGATTTTTTTTATACTTTTTTTCGTATCCAATGTTAATGTTTATCGTTGACAAAAAATCATGGTACAATCAATGGCTAGACGATAAAGATACAAACATTTTTGAATTAATATGGTTTGCACTACTTCACTACTTTTTTTTTTTAAATATGAACTTGAATAATAAAGCGATGCTAAAAATAATTTGAATGTAATCGCTTGCAATGCTAATCACACATATATATCTTGCGCATATCAAGAGCACGTTACGTTGGATGATGATGATGCATGAACATAAATTGTATGGTAAATAACAAATCTGAAGAAATGTGTTGCGAACATTATTTTTCCATAAAAAAACTTAAAACGATACACAATCTCTAGCATTGACATTAGCTAAGCGGTTGTATGAGCATGAAGTTTTCAGCTCGGTTTTCGTACACTTTGACATTGTACCATAAACTGAAATGAAACACATTAGATGAGTTCAAGTATAACACGAAAAAAAAAATCGCACGCGCACAAAATGATCCAACAACTTTTTGTTTTAAGACGGTTATGCAGAAAATTCCATAAACACAAACCGAATAACAATGCGTAGTGAGTTGATCTAATGAGATTTTCGTGGCACGTGCTATGAGTTTTACACATTTTGTTGTTTTGAATTTGAAGTTTTATTCCATGCAACAACGTATATTTCACTGAACAGATATGACGATTTAGTCTTTGGATTCGGAAAATCTCCATGCGAAGAAATTGAAACTCAAGTAAAAACAAGAGAAAAAAGACATAAATACGCCAGCACGTACAACTGCATAAAAATTACGCGCTTCTTTTGTGATTCAACTTTTGCTGGAATTAAATTTCACTTACGTCACTCAAAAAAGAATTGCACTTGAAACCAGCCACATATTTTTCTTCTTTGGATTATCCTGTTGCATTTTTTTCCGTTATTTTTTTAAAGCCTCCATTGAAAACGAAAATCTGTACGTGATATCTGAAACGGATAAAAGTTTTTCCATCACTTTTTTTCACACGAATTTTTAGAAGAAAATGTTTTTAAGCACTTTATAAAAGATAGAATTTCTCACAAAAATCGTTAACTTTTTTTATAATTACAAGAAATTAAATTATATCTATGAAATGACAGTCGAATATTTTAAATAATTAAACTATGCGGATCAAAACTATGCAGAACGACTAATCGACTCGAAGAGAATGAAAATATGTCCAAACAGTTAAGTAAATATACGTTAGAAGAGATAACCGTTTCAATTCAGACTAAAGCTTATGTCTTGACCAAGATTTGTTGACTACTCAAATAATGCGAACCAGCCCACTACATTTGCGTGATTCTTTACGATTGACGAAAAGTTTTCGTGGTTGTAGTTGCCATTTAATTCATGTTATTCAGTCCTTTTTTTCCTTAACAAACAATTGAAGCGAATGAATAAAATTCATATGCGTACATATTTGAGTAGGAAGAGTGAGAGAGAAACTGATAAATGTGTGAGCATGTTTATTAATGGCGATGATTCTTTGTGAGCATCGCTTTGAACGTGGCACTTGATTATTATTCAAAAAGGATAGCGTCACACAACACCATACGCACACACACATAAAAAACTATCGGTCCATGACCAAAAGATGTGTTGTGTTGTGCCTCATGTGAAACAAACATATTCCAAAAAAGAAAAATGTGTATTGTAATAACAAGTGTCGTTGTCATTCTAGCTATCACAGTATACGGAAGCGGCTGAAATAACAAAGCATTGACGTATACAATAAAAAAAAAAAAACAAACAAATGTGTGAAGAGTTCAGCCGTATGTATGAATAATATCGTACGACTAATGAAGATCTTTTTGAATAAGGCATAAAATATACTAAAAAAGGTAATAAAACAAGCCAATTGTTCATAGGCTGTGGATTCGGCAGAGATGGCTCGTTCAAAAATAATAGTGACCATCAAAGATGTAATGTTATGGTTTTTTATATCTCGTTTGCTCAGTCGACGTAATCAGATTAATAAGGCTTGATAACATATGGACTACAATACAATACAGAGTGACGGCGATGAAGACGGCGCGAATACAATGAAATAAATCTTGCTAAAGTGATTTTTCGTACTCTGAACCGTGCCAAACCATAAAACAAAGGAGATAGGGGTCAGACACTACATCGAACTAGAATTTCGTTTTCATAATATGTTAAATGGTCGGTTGAGATGTTGAATGTTGTCTGCAATGGTTCCATGTGAGTTTTTTGTTTTTGTATAAAATTTCATTCATTTTAATATTCAATTCCGTCATTTTTATTCCAGCCCCCTTAAGGTAAAACCAAATTGAAATTTAGCATTCGCAGTTAAGACGATATACTCAGAGGACAAATATGTTTTGTCTTTGTGTAAACGATGCCATGACATATTGGGCTGAAGCGACATTTTTTGCCGTAGAATTCATTTTAACTGATATTTATTTGATTGCTGTCACATAATTTTACTTGAAAATTCAGTTGACAGTTGCATTCGGAGATTTTTGCTATTTTATTTAGATGCAACAAACTCTGGTTTATTTACTTGTCACATATTTGTCTCATCATTAATGTTTCGCTCACTACAAACAAAAGAGCAATTATACCAATCTGGGTTTGTTCGCTTTTATTATTATTTTCTGTATTGTGATGTGAGAGTGTTGTGAATGTGCGCCGGAATGCGCGCACAACGAACCAAACAAACGAACAATAAAGACATGAGCATTGCTCACCAGAGATACATTAGAGAGTTCATCACATCCATGTATTCATGTGAGTGATCTCTCTCACATCAGGTAAAATCCATTTTGAGACACATTTATTTTCGCTGTGTATCGCACAAAAAAAGACACAAATTGAACCAAAACATTCGCATTGCCGCATCGTCGAATTTAACGAAACACATTTGAATGTAGCGAGGGAGGGGAGCGCGTCCGTGTTTACAAATAAAACAAATTCAAATTTACAATATTTCTTCTTTTTTTCTCAACGTGGAATCATTGGATTTGTACGATTTTGTGGGATTGTGAACTCATGCATATTCATCGTTCAATACGAAGTTCATTGCTTCAAAGAATCTTCTAGGTAGTATATTTACATTTCTTTTGCATTGATTTAATGATGTTCATTCGAACTTAGTAGCAATTTAGATGTATAAAAACAAACACGTCATCTTTCAACAAATGAGCGCTTGATTATTTGCATGGCACTGTGTATATAAGGGACAAGTATTTCAAATGAACTTAATTCCAAAAATGCAATTCACCTGTTTCAGAGAAAATCCTGTTCCGGCTTAAGCAGATGCAAACACTGCAGCTGAATGGATTTGCCAAGTATAAGTGGGATTTAATGATTTTAGAAAGGAAATCAAATTAAACACACATATTAAACATGCAAATTGGTTGACCTAGTGCACGTTTATATTTCAAGAAATGCAAACCATTCATTCACCGATGAACGTGTATCTTAGGAGTTGGGGAGTCGGTTGCTAAGCGGAAAATTGCGTGTCAATTGAGATGCCACTGAACACATTGTACGTGATGTATGTTTTCGTAGGCAAAACCACTTCGTGTCATCTTCAATGGAATAATAAGTTTACTTGGTGTGCGATAAAAGCATGCACAGGACAAAGTTGTTTAACATGCCATACATTTTGCATTTCATTTGCTTCTTAATCTTTCTTCTATTCTTCATTTAAATTGAACATTTCTTTTCAAACAAAAACCAGTAATTACTTTTCAACAAGAAATAAATATGAGGCATCTTAAACGACGACAGAAGTGACTCAATTCCATACACACTGAGCAACACATATTTTCATTTTATTTCCGTTCAACTTCTTTCTATAATATTAAATTTTATATTCAGCGAATTCTCTTACTATTTCAAAAAAAGGTCGGTATTGTACTTCGGTTCCTAGCAAAACTTTAATGAATTTTTAAGACGCATTTGAGATGACTTATATTTCGATGAATTTTTTAAAATGTTCAATCAATTTATTTCCATCCACTTTCAGAAATTCAATTTATAACTCAATTGAAAATGTGTTCCGAGTAAAACTGGAGCTGGATACACGTTCACATGCTCAGGTTCGAGCGAACATCGCATACATTTCCACGTTCAATCTCAGCTGAAGCGTTTTTAGTGAATGTTGGTTTGATGTGATCCAATATGATAAAATATAATAAAAACCAATTACCAATATGCAGAAATTTAGCAAATTAGTTGAAATTGAATTGTTTGAGGTGATTTCGATTAAAAATGAAAATTGCATTTCCGACATCAATCGCATGAGTATGTAATACCATATTGAATGGTCAATATCAATTCATTTGTCACATACTATAATTAATTGCGGGTCTATTGATTCGGCTTAAACATCACGCATGCATAGCCAATAGGCAATTACGTAACACACATATATGTCTGTTATAAATTCAACTTCAAGAATATAGTGTGCGGTTCAGATGTTGGCAATGACAATGGAATTTATGTTGATTACTTGAGGGTTTAAATTGCTCATTTACAATAAATGTCCCTTTTGTTTCGATGCAAACCCACGCTCATTCATTTGGTTCAATATGAACCGAAAACGTGCTATAAATTTAAAATAGGTGCATTTGACTCGACATGTGTGAATGCTATTGTTTTTGACTGGTTTTTGTATTGGTTTGAACGATCACGTGCCCATAAACGGTAAATATTGAGTATCGGAATCCGTAGCACAATCCATCATATGTAAGCATCGAATGTTCAGTTTCTATGTGGAAAACTTGAACTATTTAGCTTAGAAACATGTAAATATCGCTTTTGTACGTGCATTTCACTATTTGACAATGAACTTATGATGAGATAATTGTGAGATGTTACACGTACAACACCCCATACGTCAGAACTGGCTCGACAATATCCACACATTTCAAGAGTGAACACAAATTGTATTCATACCGTGTGGTGGAAGCTTGGAAATGAATATCAACATTCGCATTGTTAACGACATTATATCGTTCATTTGTTGCGTTGTATACACGAAACAAAGCATATTTGAGGAAATGACGCTACGCGTTGATGGAAAAGCTATTTGTATACCCATTTAAATAGACTGGAAAGCAGTCGGAAATAACACATTGTTCCCTCACACACACCCAGTAATTTTCGCACGATTTTCAGTCCATTAAATCAATTTATAGCAAACAGAGGAATCTTTTATATAGAACACCAGCGTAGAACTGTGTGTACATCACTGGTGTGAATGAAGCTAAGAGGTAATAGAATGTTTACAATTTACAATGAAACCATACCAATAACGCGTACACCAATTAAAATGAACAAGTTGACCTATATCTGGCAGATTTCAGTAGCTCGTTTCTTGTAAATGCTACTTGTATTAAGCACACAATTGTCGCATCAAGTAGATGAAATTAAATGCATACACATTGATATCCTTTCGTAACTGTTTGCAGATGTAATCCGATCCCGAAAATTGAAAAAGTGTTGCATTGCATTATCTTGATTGTGTGGCTGCTTCGATATCCTGGTGTGTTTATCCGTACCTCATTAAATCGCTCCATATTGAAATATTTGCGAATTTAAATGATGCAACAAATTTTAATACTGCGAACATAATGTCACACTGCTGATAATTTATATCGCATTTGCTAATAAATTCAAGCCATTGCACACGTGCAAGGAACTTTGGAACGCCAACGAGAGAGCGAGAGAGCGAAAAAGAGAAAAATTACGAGAATATAACATTCTATTGTAAAATTAATGGTGTAGCATATGTCGTTTAAACGCAATTTGCTAGTTTTCGCTCAACGATAGACCGGAGCTAGCAGCCCGTCCTGAAAGCATGAACACATCAATAATATGGTCGATGCTTATTCTTCTCTCTACTTTATGACACAATAAATTGAATCGATTTAACGACATAAAGAAGGCAATCTTAGTCTCTTGCAATA